GTGGCGACAGTTTCACAGATCGCAGCCCCCAGGGATGGCGAGGTCTAATTTGAATCCGCCGCGGGTGCAGACTGTGCTGGGCCCCCCAGCAGCCCTCGAAAGTGGCGACAGTTTCACAGATCGCAGCCCCCCAGGGATGGCGAGGTCTAATTTGAATCCGCCGCGGGTGCAGACTGTGCTGGGCCCCCCAGCAGCCCTCGAAAGTGGCGACAGTTTCACAGATCGCAGCCCCCCAGGGATGGCGAGGTCTAATTTGAATCCGCCGCGGGTGCAGACTGTGCTGGGCCCCCCAGCAGCCCTCGAAAGTGGCGACAGTTTCACAGATCGCAGCCACCCAGGGATGGCGAGGTCTAATTTGAATCCGCCGCGGGTGCAGACGGTGCTGGGCCCCCCAGCAGCCCTCGAAAGTGGCGACAGTTTCACAGATCGCAGCCCCCCAGGGATGGCGAGGTCTAATTTGAATCCGCCGCGCGTGCAGACTGTGCTGGGCCCCCCCAGCAGCCCTCGAAAGTGGCGACAGTTTCACAGATCGCAGCCACCCAGGGATGGCGACGTCTAACTTGAATCTGCGTGTGGCGTCACTGTGCTGGGACCCCAGCAGGCCTCGAACGTGGCGGCAGTTTCACAGATCGCAGCCCCCCCAGGGATGGCGAGGTCTAATTTGAACCCGCCGCGGGTGCAGACTGTGTTGGGCCCCCCCAGCAGCCCTCGAAAGTGGCGACAGTTTCACAGATCGCAGCCCCCAGCCGCGGTGGGTACCCACTGTGCTGGGCCCCCCAGCAGGCCTCGAAAGTGGCGACAGTGTCACAGATCGCAGCCCCCCAGCTGGCACGCAGCGACGAGCGAGGCGAAAGGCAAGGGGGAAGAGAGGGGCGGGAGGGGGCGGGAAGGAAAGAAGGAAGGAAGTGAGGAAGGCGACGCGCGAGCAGTGCTCTATTCAAAACGAGAACCCAACGCAGGAGGGTTGGGAAAAAACTCTGAACGTCCGATGGGTATGCCCGCAACCACTGGCAGCGTGCTCTCGGGCGCAGCAAACGCGAGGGAGCACTACGGCGCCACTGAGAACACCAGGAGGTGTGCACGGCCATCACATGTGGCGAGGGAAGCCGAACCCTGCCAGTACCGCGATCGGCTTGAGGGCGCCACGCGTTTTCACAGCAGTGCCTGCAGTCCTCCTCCTCCTCCTCCTCCTCCTCCTTCTCCTCCTCCTCCTTCTGCTCCCTCCTCCCTCCTCCCTCCTCCCTCCTCTCCTCCTCCGCCTCCTCCTCCTCCTCCGCTCATCCCCCCCTCTTAGCCCTGCTTCCCCCCCACACATCCTCGCTTGCCTGTCTGAGAGGGCAGGCGGAATGAGCGGAGTACAGCGTGGACAGTCTTCATCATAGGAATGGCAGGCAAGCTTTAATGTGGACGGCTTCCCCGCGCACACGTGCCGGGTAGCGGCCACTCGCGCACAAATCGAGTGCGCCCTCGCAAACTGCGGGCGCTTGCCGCTGGAGCCCTGACGCTGCTCTTGCACAGTGCCGCTGGAACAGAAGGGTGCGCGGTCAGGATGCCACGTCCTAGTTGACTGAGGAAAGGATCTGCCGACGAGTGCGCTAAGGAGCTGCCGAAGAGGCAGGAATGCAGGGGCACCTTGGACAACATGTTCATCCTCCTGATACGGTTCGACTGTAGGGCGTGCGGATGAGGTCCGCTGCCGCCTCCGCCTGTGCCCTTCGTCACCCTCTGTGGGGATCGCGTACACTGGTGGTCTCGGGAAACGGCCTTCTGGAGATCGCGTGCGCTCCAATGCCTGTGTACATCAGAGCCGATGCTGAAGGAGCAGCATCTGTGTGCACCAGGGCGTTTGTACACCACATGGCCTGAGTGCACCACAGTGCCGCTGTACACCTCGAAGCCTGTGTGCACCACCATGCCTGTGTACACCACGGCGCGTGTGTACACCACATGGCCTGCGTGCGCACAACAACAACTGTGCACATCACGGGGGCCTGTGTGCACCTCAGTGCGCGGCTACACAACGAGGATCGTATACAACACAATGCCTGTGTGTACACGAGCTGCTGCAACAGCAGTAGCACATGTGTGCGCCACGGCGCTTGTGTACACCACAAGGCCTGTGCACAGCACAGCGACCGTGTTCACCAACAGAACCCATGTGCAACACAGCTATTGCTTCACCGCCACCTTTGTGTACTGCACCGCCTGTACCTCACAGCGCCCGTATCCATCACAAGGCCTGCGTGCACCTCCAGGGTCCCGATGGGGTCGAATTCCAGAACACCGTGGTGTGCCCAAACGTATTAAGGTCTCGCTGCTTGTGACTAGCTTCCTTCCCCCCCACCTGCCTCTTCTCAAGCCACTCGTATCCAAACTTGCTCACACTTAGACTCACGTTACGCTCGTATGCACTCACACGCAAACATACTGACACACGGGCATACTCATAACGAGACTCAATCACAATCAAATCGACTGACACTCAGACTCACTTTTACCTGGGCCCACTCCTACTCAGCCTGACATATATCGAACTTACTTCTACACCTACCGCTCTCACCCATAACCATTCATACTCAGCCAAAGCCTTGCCACATCCATACACACATAACTCATAGGTTCAGAGCCCCATGCTCATCGTGATGTAGCCAGCGTGGCGATTGAGCACCCCACGGAGGAGCCGCCAGGGATGGGGACATTTGTGAATTCGCGACGAGATTGCGGGGATGTCGCAAGCGGTTTGCCAGTTTGATGGCTTGAACTTGCGTCTCTGTTGCGAGCCCCATGCGCATTGCGATGTAACAGGCGTGGCGTTTGAACACCCTAGGGAGGAGCCGCCAGGAGTGGCGACATTTGCCCGGTCGCGCCCAGATGTTTTGGGATGCCTCGAGCGGTGTGCCTGCTGGGCGGTTCCTCTCTTTTGAAAGCCACATCCGCATCCCGATGCGACAGGCGTTGCATTTGAGCACCCCCAAGAGGAGCCGCCAGGGGTGGGGACATTTGCGCTTTCGCGTCCAGATTGTGAAGATGTCTCAGTCGGTTGGCCTGTTGGTGGCTTGGACTTCTTTCTTTTCTAGGCCCCATGCCCATCGCGACATAGCGGGCGTGGCACTTGAGCACACCTAAGGGGCCGCCAGGGAGGGGGACATTTGCCAGCTTGCGCCGAGATTGTTGGGATGTCTCAGGCGGTTTGGACGTTTCTCTTTTCAGAGCCCCATGCTCACAACGATGTAGCAGCCGTTGCGTTTGAGCACGCCAAGGGGGAGCCGCAAGGGGTGGGGACTTTTGCCCGTGCGCGCCCAGGTTGCGGGGATGCATCAGGCGGTTTGCCTGTTTGGTGGCGTGGACCTCGTCACTTCCAAAGCAGGTTGTGAGGATGTCTTGAGCGAGGCGCTGACTTCAGCATCCCAAAGGGGAGCCGCCAGGGAGTGGGACACTTGCCCGGTCGCACCCAAATTGTGGGGACGTATCAGGCGGTTTGCCTGTTTGGTGGCAGGGCCTTCGGTGCTTCAGGAGCCGATTGCGAAGGTCTCTCGAGCGAGGCGCTGACTTCAGCACCCCAAGGGGAAGCCGCCAGGTGTAGCATTTGCCCGCTCTTGCCCTGATTGTTGGGATCTCTCGAGCGGTTTGCCTGTTTGGTGGTTGGACGTCGGCGCTTTCAAGACAGAGTGCGAGGATGTCTCGAGCGAGGCGCTGGCTTCAGCACCCCAGGCGGCCAGATCGTTAGGATGTATCAGGCGAGGCGCTCGGTTTTGCACCTCCGCCTCCTGTCCATCCTGAGCCCCACGATCACTTCGATGCAGGAAGAAAGGACGGCTGTCAGGTTGAAGGAGGAAGGACGGAAGAGGACGCAAGAGGAGGCAGAAGGGAGGAAGAGACGGCAGGGAGTACATGACGAGTCGTAAGAGGGAGGAGATGGGAGGGAGCCTGCTCACCGCCTGTCTGTTTGTGAGTTGTCGTCGCCGCTGTCCCTCATCGTAGCCGCCGCCGTCGTCGTCAACGTTGTCGACGTCGTCGCCGTCGTCGTACTCGTCGTCCAATCGGATTCCCTCTCACACCCAGACACTCACAGCGGGACGTGCCAAGAAATGAGATGCGCATATGGGGATCTCCGCGTCGAGTACTTGATTTGCTTGGCCCTGGGTACGGTCCCCCGCCTGCACTGGGCCCGCCGTACTGGTGTACACCACGGCGACTGTGCATACCACAGCGACTGTGTACACTGCGCCTGCGTGCGCCACCATGCCTTACGTGCACAACAATACCCGTTTACACCACAATACTTGTGTACACCACCGCGTCCGTGCGCACCACAACCGTTGCTACAGCAGCAGGTGCGTGCGCGCCACGTGCACCACAGTGCCTGTAGTTCAATGCCACGTCACACGCCAATTCACACTGCAAACGCACTGCTCTTTTATGTGGCGGACAGCTTAGTGAGTGTTTTCTGATTCGGCGTTTCGACATTGAGCGGAAGGGGAGGGGGAGGGGGGGGGGGTCTGGCCCTGGACCTCTGCTTAGTGTGACTGTTTGCGACAGTGCGTCCTATGAGGGGAGCCTCCACTGTTCGAAACAGGCGCCAAAAACAGCCAAGATCTACTCCATGGGGGGGGAGGGGTGATGCGAGGGCCCGCGCCGATCGGCAAAACAATGAATGAACAAACGATCGCTTAGGCGTCCGCTTAGCAACTTGCGCTGCTGCAGCGATGGTGGATGGTGTCGCAGGCGGTAAGTCACATATCTACTGGGTGTGTGGGCGGGCGGGCTTGAGGCCACACTACGCGCATGGTGTGGTCGCCCCCAAACTCCGCCTCCTTCAGTCGTGTCCAGCGGACCCATCCACCCAGCCCCACGTGCAACATGCACCGACGGTGGAGTCGTGATCCCCCTGATGCGCCCAGGTGCAGAAGGTGCGTACCGCAGCCGGCCCGTCCCTGCAGAGTGGATGGCGGCAAGACGCCAAACATCGAGCGCCTGGTGTCGGTCCTACTGGCGGGCTCTCATTGTGCCCCTGAGTTGAAAAGGGCCGCGCCAGAGGCACAGGGAGAAAAGTGCGGCTCCTCCTCTGGCTCTAGCTCTTCTGCAAGCTCTGGCTCCTCGTCCAGGTCTTCGATCCCCACTGTACTACAAGGACCGAACTGATCTTGCTCCGACTGGTTTCGGACTGCCTGCACGGCCTTCCAAGTCTTGTCTGCAGCGTACGCGGCCACAAAGCACGACGAGAACACAGCTACCGGCACCGCCGCGCGCGTCAGCGCCTCCTGCATGGCGCGGGCGTGCTCGTGCGAGCAGCGCAAAGTGCGTTCGCAGCCGCAGTGGGTGGCGTCGAGAATTGCACCCACAACCGGCTCCGAGCTCGGCAACAGACTTGCAAGCGCCACCCGCACCAACCCGTGGCTTACGTCGTTCGCGAAGTACGAGGCGCTTGCGGTGGCGTCCAGAGACCCGCGCCCCACGGTCACGAAGAATTCGGTGGTGAGCGTGATCGCAGCGTTCAGAATTATTGGAGCCCCGAGGGGAGCCAACGCACAGCAAACAGTGCTCGGCTGTCCCTGGGCATCGTGGACGGCGCCACCGCCAGCTATGGAAATGGTGCCGCTGGCGCTTTTCCCACCGCTGTCCGGCGTCGGATCTTTGTCAGCCACCTCTGCTGGGGTGGTGTACCACATGGTGAACGCTGGCATGCCCGTGGGCACGCTGGGAGCACAAGGGAGAGGCGGCAGGTACGCAGCAGCGCTGGCCAGGAACGACCCAGCGGCATCCCGCGCCGCCGAGGCCCCACAAGAGGCCGAGTCTATAGAGGAAGAACAAAAACGACATGAGCATGAACTTTCGGAGCTCCGCGCGGATGTCTCGGATCGGCGGTGGCACCCCCCTTCCTGGCGCGCAGAACGCGCCAGGGGCCGCGTCGGAGGAGCCACCAAGGGATCCCAACGCAGATCACAAAAAATCCGCCCGGACCTCCGAACGCTTTGTGTCAGCATGGAGGAAACGGGCTCTGAGGGAAACAGACCCGGGCACCCTGGGGCATTCCCAAAGGCCAGCTCTTCATCCTAAGCCGTCATCTGACAGTCCCAGGGCCCGTGGAGGGCCCCAAGCCAATAGAGGTGGAAAAAACCCACGACTCGTGTCCTTCAAGACCCGCTTAGAAGAAGAAAGAGCGGCATAAATATAAACTTGTGGCGCTCCGCGCGGGCTTCTTGGAAGTGCGCTGGATCCCCCGCCCTGGCCCGCGGAGCGCGCCAGGAGCGGCGCCAGAGGCGCCGCCACGGCCCAGCGCGGCTCCAAGACATCCGCTCGGAGCGCCACAAGTTTACGTGTGTGTGGCGCTTTGCCTTCTTCGATCCGTGGCGACGCTGCGCGTGCCGCCTGTGCTCCCTCGGGCCTAGCACCCGTGCTGCCACGGACGCCGGTGCAGCCAGCTCCCTCCCGCTCGCCGCCCGCTCCCGCAGCAGCCGCGAGGCCGCCAGCCGCTCCCGCAGCGCCGCCCTCGTGGCCTCGGCGAGGCAGTCCGCCGCCAGCAGCTGCTCCTGTCGCGTCGCACTCCCAGACGGGGTCGCGCCGCAAACGAAGCAAGACGGGACATGTTTCGCCGTCGTCGGCTTCCGGAGGCCCTCGCCGGGGCCCAGGACACTCAAAAGTCCTCGTGGTCGTCCTCTTGCTCGTCCTCTTCTCTCCTCTTCGATCGGCCTCTGCCCAAGCCCAGGCCGACCGGGATCGCTCCCCCTTCCCCCCTTCGCATGCTCGCGGTCCTGGGGGGAACGACATCAGATTGACATGCGCAGCAGCCGCTGCGCATGTCAGTCTTTATGTTGTTCCCTCCGGGGTTCTGTTTTGAGACTGGCTGCCCGTGACAATGTCCCCCTCTCGTCGTCGCCCTTGTCCTCGTCCTCCTCCTCTTCCTCCTGCTCGGTCGGCCTCGGCCCACCCTCCGAGCGGCCAGGATCGCCCGCCCTTCCCCTTCTGGCTTCCTCGCGGCCCTGGAGGGAACAACATAAGATTGACACGCGGAGCCACCGCTCTGCATGGCAATCTTACGCTGTTCAGGGTGGGGCCGCGAGGACGCGATGATGGGAGCCCAAAGGACGGGAGCCCAAAGCACAAGAGCACGATATCACGATATCACGATCTGGTGGTGGAGAAGCTAATTCCCACACGATGCGCTCGTGTGTGGGAATTGGGTCTGGCTCGCATATTCTCATATGTTTTGCTGGCTTAGAACGTCCGAAAGCACGAGACCACGATATGGAGATATCGTGATATCGTGATATCGTCTTCCCCCCGCCTCCGATTTGGATATCGTGACATCGTGATATCGTGATATCGTGTTCCCCCCGCCCTTGTTTCGGATATCGTGATATCGTGATATCGTGATATCGTGATATCGTCTTCCCCCCCCTCCCAGCACAAACTGATTGCCACCACAATGTGTTATTAGGCTTAGGGGCTCTTGGCAACTCACGGGGGGCCCTCGTCAGAACTTCAGGGGCCATTGAGCCAAATCAGGCCAGAGTCGGCCCAGGATTGAGCCAGATTGGGCACCGGGGATATACCAGCGCCGATTCGGAATCCTAAACCTCCCAAGAGCTGCGCCCTGGCTCCTGGGCGCCAACGTAGGCCGCCCAGTCCTCGTCCGCCCAATCCGCGTGGGACGCCACCAGGCTCGGCCCCTGACTCCCGAGGGTCGGAGGAGGGCGAGTGGAGAGGCCGCGGTACGGTCAGGAACTCTTGCGGAGCGTGCCGCGGCGACGGGCCCTGGTGACACGCTGTGCCGGGCAACCGGCTGGCGTGTCGCTCCGCTCCGTGGGGCGGGAGGCCGGGCAAGGCTCGGGACGTTGGCGCTCGGGGACCGGGGCGTGGTTGGCGTGTCGCGCCGAAGCGTGGTGGGCCAGGACCGGCAGAACGGCGCGCGAAGCCAAAGTTCCTGACCGTAGTTGACCTTCGAGCGGCCCCCTCGTCACCGCGGCTGGACGCAGCTCGGAAAGCTGGCAAAATTTGGACCCTGGGAGGGGTCCGGGGGCCAGCTTTGAGCTGCGAGATATCCGACGTTGCGGAAGCATTGCAACATCGCAACGAATCACGACCAGAGCCACAGACCCCAGACTTCTGCGCCGTCTCTCGAGCCGGAGCGCTCTGAGGGGGCCCTGGGGCCCGCAGTCGGGCGAAGGCGCCCCGCTCCGGCAAGCGGAGGCGCCAGAGGCTCTCGGCGTCGGCCCGCCCCTCTCCGAGGTGGCCCGCTCCAGCAGGGGTGCGGGAGCCTTGGCAGGGAGGTCCTTGGGGAAACCAACAAGGTACCGATGCATCCCGCTACTCTCCGGACCTCTCTCGGGGTGCGCTCTGAACAGGATTTCGAGGCGAACCCAGCGGTGGCGACGAGGGCCTCCCAGGAGGCCCAAGAAGGGGGAAACGGGCGAATGGTCCTCCTCCGCCTCCCCCGCCTCCTCCGCCTCCGCCTCCGCCTCCTCCTCCTCCTCCTCCTCCTCCTCCTCCTCCTCCTCCTCATCATCCTCCTCCTCGTCCTTTTACGTTAGACCGACCTGAGCGTGAACGCTGTGGCGAATGTCCTCCTCCTCCTCCTCCACCACCACCTCCACCTCCTGTTTCCTCCTCCTCCCTCGGGGCCTCGGCAGGGAGGTCCGCCTCGGCCTCGGGCTCGTCGCGGGGCGGCCGGGGCGGCGCGGCGGGGAGGGGCGCCCACATCTGGCGCGCGCGAGGCGCTTCGGGCGCCGCCCCCAGGCGCCTCGGGGCCAAGGCAGCTGCAGCCTCCTCCTCCTCCTCCTCCTCCTCCTCCTCCTCCTCCTCCTCCTCCTCCTCCTCCTCCTCCGCCTCCGCCTCCGCCTCCTCCGCCTCCTCCTCCTCCTCCTCCTCCTCCTCCTCCTCCTCCTCTCTTCCTCCTCCTCCTCCTCCTCCTCCTCCTCCTCCTCCTCCTCCTCCTCCTCCTCCTCCTCCTCCTCCTCCTCAGGGAGCCCACAGAGGACGTACGCGCGCCCAGCCCAGACCCCCCCCGAGTCATGAATCAATCACGGCGGCAGGTGTTTCGTTATGTTTTCGGCCTCCGGGGGTCCTCAACGGGCCTCGGGGCCGTCAAGAAACGAGTCAGGATGAAAAGCCGGTTCCGTGGAAGGGGTCAAGACTTCTGGGGTAAACGTCATGAAGAAGTCATGACGTCGGGGGTCTGTGAACCAAGTACAGCAGGAGCTCGCCCACAAGAAACATTCCACAAGAGCCCGTATGTGAGACCCCACGACGTCAATTGATTTTTGTGGTGTGGAGACGTCACGCTTTCCACAGCAAGACCATCGAAACCCGAGAAACCCAGGGCACCCCAGAGGCAAGCAGGGTGTTTCTTGGCATGGGCCTCCACTGTTCAGGAGTACGCCCCCCAAAATACGCGAGACTGGCCGCAGAATACGAACGTCCGCGCACGTCCTTCCCTCTCTCCTGAGCCCTGAGATCCGACGCTGCGAAACAAGTGTAACCCAGACGTGTTGTCGCCTTGAGATATCACGACGGGCAATGCTTGGCCGTTTTCGTCCTCTGGGGGCCCTCGCTGGGCCACTCTGGACAGTGAAAGAACGCCTCGGGAAGTCAAGCCGACCCTGGCGAAATGGTCTGTTCGAGGACCCCGTGCTGAGAAGAGCAGGACGTCGCATGTCTGGGCGTGCGACGTCGCGAAAAATCACGACCGGAGCCTCGGACCCCCTCTTGCCCCAGCATGTCTCGAGCCAGATCCAGATGTGATGGGATCCTGGGGCCAGGCACCGCGCGAAGACGCCCGAAGAACAGGTGCAGCGCGCAGATATCAGAGTCCGGCCACGGGTGCGCACTCTGCAGCGCCGCGTGCTGAAAACATGGGGACGACGCATGCCTGGGCACCCTCTGGCGGCGCCGCACAATGTGGCCGCGAGGGCCGGCGCAGGGGCCGGCGCAGGGGCCACGGCGGTCTGCCTCGCCGCCGTGTGCGGGGGCGTCGAGGAGTTGCTTCGCGCTCCCCCCCCCCAGTTAGCCACACTGTCCTGCCCTCGCCCGGGCGCCTGCCTGGCTGCAAGGGAGGGATCCGTATCCATGAACCACCGCCAGAGGGGATCGGTCTTCGCGGACCTGTAAAAAGCGTATGGGCCGTGGACCTCCGGGGGCCCGAGAGAATCCCTGAAGGCCATACTTGGCACTCTCGGGGCCATCCATGATCTGCGCTTGGCCCCACAGGGGCGGAGGAGGAGGAGGAGGAGGAGGAGGAGGAGGATGAGGAGGAGGAGGAGGAGCAAATCCACCGCCAACCGAGGCCACCGAAGCTCGAGCCCCCAGGCGGTGGTGTTGGATAGGTCCCCGCCTCGGACTGGCTGTGCGGGGGCAGCGGAGGCGGAGTCCTCGGCCCCGCGAGGCCCAGGTGGGCCGCTCTCCTCCCCCGCCGACCCTTTGCCGCCGCCTCCCGGGCGACCCCGCAGCCCTGGCCGCACTTGGCACGCTTCGGCCGCGGCAGCTGCACACCACCACCGGGGACCCCTGGACAGTGACACCGCTGAGCGGCACAGCCTGGAAATCCCACCCGAGCGACGATCAAAGACGGGCCTTGCGCCAGATGGCACAGCGACCTTGCGCGGTGGCTGCGCGGGCCGCCAGCGCGGAACGCTGCTTTGGAGACGCGGGCGCTTACGCGGGACCCTACCTCGGAAGCGTACGGTAGGTTCGCGTCGTGTCGACCGGCGGCAACCCTGCCACGGGCGTTCAACATTGAACGCCACCGGCGACCCAGAATCGGTCGATGTTGAACGATCTGACCTTTCGGAAACGGCCGATCGTTCAAGTTTGAACGATCCCCGCAGTGCCAGAAACCGACGCCGAAGTCGGCACGACGCGAACCTGCCGTATGCGCCAGCGTCGGCGAAGACGACCCCTTCTTTTTGCGCCGCGCCCCTGGGAACGACAAAGCCTGGAGAATGCTTCGGCCCACGGGGTCAAACAACCTCGAACGAGCGGCGATACTTCGACCCTCAGCTCCTTCTGCACTGGCCGACTCCGATCCCCCGGCAGCATTCACCCTTGAGCGCCCGCGCTCGGGTCGTCGCCGCGTCGACGTTGCCGCGTCGTCGCGGCACGAACCTACCGTACGGCAGGCTCGTGTCGTGACGCCCCTGGGGATGGTTCCTGACACCGCGTCGATCGCTCCATCTTGAACGATCGGCGGCTTGCCGATCGCCCGACTGCTCCATGTAGGTCGATTCTAAGCCACTGGCGGCGTTCAACCAATGGGCGCCGTGAAGAGAAAACGGAAAAATGAGGAGGAGGAGGAGGAGGAGGAGGAGGAGGAGGAGGAGGAGGAGAACGCCCGCGGCGGGGTCGTCGCCGATGCGGCACGAACCTGCCGTACGGTGGTGCAGCTGCCGCCCGTTGGCAGGCTTCCCCGCTCGGGGAGGAGGCCCACTGGGGCGGGCGCCGCGCAGCTCTCGGGGAGCCCCTTTCTCTCGCTGCCCCCAGGTCGGGCATGTTCCCCTACAGGAGGGAGATTCAAGAATAGTCAAGAAATAGTATGTGGACGATGTTTGTTCACATATGTTTGGCTCCATGCTTGCATGCTTCTGACCATGCTCGACATTTCTTTCAAAGCCCGCCTGTAGGAGGACATGCCCGACCCAACGCTGCCCCCTCTCCAGTTGCTCTCCAGTCATGCCTTGAAGTTGCTCGGGTGGGCGGCATGCCTTGAAGTTGCTCTCCAGCTGCTCCCGATCCAGATTGCGGCCGATGAACACCAGCTTGTTCGTTCGCGGCTCCTCGGGCCTCCTGGGGGGGCGGGTGGCGCGCGGCGCGGCAGCCCCGAGGCGAGTCCAGCGAGGGGGGGGAACCGCATGCGAACTGCGCCACTGGGGCCTTCGGTGGAGCTCTCTATGGGGCCACGAAGCGCTGCCCTGGGTGGGGGAACCGCATGCGAACTGCGCCACGGGGGCCTTCGGTGGAGCTCCCTATGGGGCCACGAAACGCGCATGCGAACTGCGCCACGGGGCCCTTCGGTGGAACCCCCTCGTGGGGCCACGAAGCGCTGCCCTGGGTACAGGGAGCGCCTGCGAACACCCCCACTGGGGCCTTCGGTGGAGCTCCCTATGGGACCACGAAGCGCTGCCCTGGGTGGGGGAAACGCATGCGAACTGCGCCACGGGGGCCTTCGGTGGAGCTCCCTATGGGGCCACGAAACGCTGCCCTGGGTTGGGGAACCGCATGCGAGAGCAGCCATTCGGGCCTTCGGTGGAACTCCCCTATGGGGCCACGAAGCGCTGCCCTGGGTGGGGGAACCGCATGAGAGAGCAGCCACTGGGGCATTCGGTGGAGCTCCCTACGGGGCCACGAAACGCTGCCCTGGGTGGGGGGACGCATTGGGAAAGCAGCCACTGGGGCCTTCCATGGAGCTCCCTGTGGGGCCACGAAGCGCTGCCCTGGGTGGGGGGACCGCATGCGAACTGCGTCACTGGAGCCTTCGGTGGAGCTCCCTGTGGGGCCACGAAACGCTGCCCTGGGTGGGTGAACCGCATGACAGAGCAGCCCCAGTGGGGCCTTCGGTGGAACCCCCTTATGGGGCCACGAAACGTTGCCCTGGGTGGGGGAACCGCATGCGAACACCCCCAGTGGGGCCTTCGGTGGAGCTCTCTATGGGGCCACGAAGCGCTGCCCTGGGCGGGGGAACCGCATGCGAACACCCCCAGTGGGGCCTTCGGTGGAGCCCCCTATGGGGCCACGGAGCGCTGCCCTGGGTGGGGGAACCGCATGCGAACACCCCCACTGGGGCCTTCGGTGGAGCTCCCATGGGGTTACGAAACGTGTGAGAGGTGTGCCGAGAGCAGAGGCAAGGAGGGGGAGGAGGGAGGAGGGGGAGGAGGAGGGGAAGGAGGAGGAAGGAAGGAGGTGGGACGCGGGGCGCTGTCTCTTCAAAAAGAGGACCTAACATCACAGGATGGTTCGGAAAAACTTTGCGCCCGAGTGGCGGGCGAAGAAACCCAAGGTACCCCGAATGCCCGGCAGTTTCTTGGAGGTTCGGGCGCGCGCCCCGAGACTGACCGCCGCCCCAAAAATTATCCTGGCGAAGGACCCAACCATATGCAGTTGTGAGTATCGCAATTGGGAGTATCTTCTTCGGTGGCGCTCCCTATGGGGCCACGAACCGCATGAGGGGTGTGCCGAAATGTGGCGGGGTACACAACGCAAAGGATTACGATTGATCTGATTACGAGAGAAATAACGCGGGTGAGTCAGAGCGCGAGGGAATCTGAGTATGAATTGGTCTGCGCGCGAGTGAATATATTTGCATGAATGCGATCATGGAACCGCCTAGTGTAAGTGTCGAGCATGCCTGTCCGAACACACGTGACACTCGGCGTGGCCGCCGCAGGCAGCTTCCGCGGGAACCCCGACGGCAGCGTCCGCACGTCGCGACGCCCATGTCGGCACGCCTCTTGCGAGGATCGCGCCCGCTTTCGGCTCTTCTTTTCCTTCCTCTTTGCCCGCGCACTCCAAAATCCAAGGCTGCGGGCGCAGCGCAGCGCGGAGTCCCCGCGACGCGCGCTGGTCGCCCCGGGCGGGGTCCCAGCGACGCGCGCGGGTCGTCCGCTGCGCGAAGCAGAGAGAGCTGACTAGCTAACTGGCTGGCTGATAGCGGGCAAGTCTCTGACCGCTGGGCAGAGCGACGACGGGCGAACGAGGCGCCGGGCCCCCCGCAGCACGGAGTTCCCGCGACGCGCGCTGGTCGCCCCGAGAGGGTCCCAGCGACGCGCGCGGGTCGTCCGCGGCGCGAGGCCAAACAATTAGTCGGGCAGTCGAGAGAAGGCGCGGCTCGGGGGAGACGCTCCTCAGGTCAGGCCTCGCGGATGAACTCGGTGAAGCCGAGCTCCCTGGCGAGGGCCGTCGCTTCCCTCCTGCACCGCTTCGTGCGCGCCGCAAACTGCTCCAGCTGCTTCCGCAAGCCCTGCGGCGGCCCTGCCAGGAAGAACTCGATGCGCGGCGCCCGCATGAGCAGGAGGTCCTCGTGGCGCGTGGCGCGCGAGAGCAGCACGTAGAGCTCCAGCCACCAGTCGTCGTCCTCCTTCTTGCCGTTCCCTACCTCGTGGCGGCCGCAATCCAGGATCACGCCTGGGCGACGTCGACCGAGGGAGCAGCGCGCCGGGCAGCCGACGGCCCAGGGCGAGAGTCCACAGGACCGAGAGATGGTCTGGCCGCGGACTGCTCGCGCCCCGGAGGTCTGGCCGCCCCCGGAGCGCCGTTCCCCCGCCCCGTCGCCTTCGCGCATGGTGCGCCCCTGGCACGCCACCGTGGTGATGACCCTGCCGTGCGAGAAATGCGGGGGGTGTGCCGAAATGGGTGGGGGTGACGCATGCGGGCGGCGGCACTGAGGCCTTCGGTGGAGCTCCCTATGGAGCCACGAAACGTGTGAGGGGTGTGCCGAAATGGGTGTGGGGGACGCATGCGGCCGCGGGCACTGGGGCCTTCGGTGGAGCTCCCTATGGAGCCACGAAACGTGTGAGGGGTGTGCCGAAATGGGTGTGGGGGACGCATGCGGCCGCGGGCACTGGGGCCTTCGGTGGAGCTCCCTATGGAGCCACGAAACGTGTGAGGGGTGTGCCGAAATGGGTGTGGGGGACGCATGCGGCCGCGGGCACTGGGGCCTTCGGTGGAGCTCCCTATGGAGCAACGAAACGTGTGAGGGGTGTGCCGAAATTGGGTGTGGGGGACGCATGCGGCCGCGGGCACTGGGGCCTTCGGTGGAGCTCCCTATGGAGCCACGAAGCGTGTGAGGGGTGTGCCGAAATGACACCCCCAGTGGGACCTTCGGTGGAGCTCCCCATGGGGCCACGAAGCGTTGTCCTGGGTGGGGGAGACGCATGCGAACACCCCTACTGGGACCTTCGGTGGAGCTCCCTATGGGGCCACGAAACGCTGTCCTGGGTGGGGGAGACGCATGCGAACACCCCCACTTGGGCCTCCGGTGGAGCTCCCTATGGGGCCACGAAACGCTGTCCTGAGTGGGGGAAACGCATGCGAACACCCTTATTGGGACCTTCGGTGGAACTCCCGATGGGGCCACGAAACGCTGTCCTGGGTGGGGGAGACGCATGCGAACACCCCTACTGGGACCTTCGGTGGAGCTCCCTATGGGGCCACGAAACGCTGTCCTGCGTGGGGGAGACGCATGCGAACACCCCCATTGGGACCTTCGGTGGAGCTCCCTACGGGGCCACGAAACAGTGTCCTGGGTGGGGGAGACGCATGCGAACACCCCCACTTGGGCCTTCGGTGGAGCTCCCTATGGGGCCACGAAACGCTGTCCTGGGTGGGGGAGACGCATGCGAACACCCCCAGTGGGACCTTCGGTGGAGCTCCCTATGGGGCCACGAAACGCTGTCCTGGGTGGGGGAGACGCATGCGAACACCCCTACTGGGACCTTCGGTGGAGCTCCCTATGTATGGGGCCACGAAACGCTGTCCTGCGTGGGGGAGACGCATGCGAACACCCCTGTTGGGACCTTCAGTGGAGCTCCCTATGGGGCCACGAAACGCTGTCCTGGGTGGGGGAGACGCATGCGAACGCCCCCAGTGGGACCTTCGGTGGAGCTCCCTATGGGGCCACGAAACGTGTGAGGGGTGTGACGACATGGGCGGTGGGGACGATGATGAAGACGATGATGAGGATGAGGATGTGGATGAGGATGATGCTGCAGATGATCATTCTGACGGAAGAGAGAAGAGGAGGGGGAGGAGGGAGGAGGGGGAGGAGGAAGGAGGAGAGGAACGCGGGGCACCGTCTCTTCAAAACGAGGACCCAACACCACAGGATGGTTGGGAAAAAACAAGATGCCCGTTGCCGCTTTATCAAGATTGCGGCGGCCTTCCGCGCCGAACGCCAGCCAAAGAAACTTAGGGAACCCTGACAGAACGTAGGTTGTTTCTTGTCATGGTCCCCTACCTCACTGTAGTAGTACAAGTGCTAGGAAGAGTAGTCGTCGTAGTAGTAGTAGTAGTAGTGGTAGTAGTAGTAGTAGTAGTAGTAGTAGTAATACTAGAAGTAGTAGTAGTAGTAGTAGTAGTAGTAGTAGTAGTGGTAGTAGTAGTGGTAGTCGTAGTAGTAGTAGTAGTAGTTCTAGAAGAAGAAGTAAGAGTAGTGTAGTAGCAGCAGCAGCAGTAGTAGTAGTAGTAGTAGTAGTAGTCGTAGTAGTAGTAGTAGTAGTAGTAGTAATAGCAGTAGTAGTAGTAGTAGTAGTAGCAGTAGTAGTAGTAGTAGTAGTAGTAAAAGTAGTAGTAGCAGTAGTACTAGTAGTAGTAGTAGCAGTAGTAGTAGTAGTAGTAGTAGTAGTAGTAGCAGTAGCAGTCGCAGTAGCGGTAGTAGTAGTAGTAGTAGTAGTAGTAGTAGTAGTAGTAGTAGTGTCGTAGTCGTAGTCGTAGTAGTAGTCGTAGTAGTAGCCGTAGTAGTAGTCGTAGTAGTAGTAGTAGTAGTAGTAGTAGTAGTAGTCGCCGTGGTCGTAGCAATAGTAGTATGGTAGTAGTAGTAGTAGTACTACTACTACTACTAATAGTATGATAAGTAGTAGTAGTAGAAGAAGTAGTAGTAGTAGTAGTAGTCGTAGTAGTAGTAGTAGTAGCCGTAGTAGTAGTAGTAGTAGTAGTAGTAGTCGGGACACTCGTAGTAGTTGTAGTAAGACTAGTAAAACACATGATTCTGAAAGTAGTAGCAGCAGTGGTCGTAGGAGTAAAAGTAAAAGTAGTAGACTGTAGAAGTAATAATATGAAAGTAATAGTGGTAGTAGAACTGGTACAAGAAGTAGTAGTATTAGTAGCCATAGGAACAGTAGCAGCACCAATAGTAACAATGTGAATAGTAGTGGTAGTAGTTATCGTAATCGTAATTGTAGTCGTAGCAGTAGTCGTAATAGCAGTAGTGTAATAGTAGCAGTAATAATAGTTGCGGTCGTCGTAACAATGATAATAAAAAAGAGGAAGTAGAAGTTGTCGTAGTCGTCGTAGTCGTAGAAGAATTAGTAGCCGTAGTCGTAGTCGTAGTCGTAGTCGTAGTAGTCGTAGTAGTCGTAGTGCTAGCTAGTAGTAGTAGTAGTAGTAGTAGTAGTAGTAGTAGTAGTAGTAGTAGTAGTAGTAGTAGTAGTAGTAGTAGTAGTAGTAGTAGTAGTAGTAGTAGTAGTAGTAGTAGTAGTAGTAGTAGTAGTAGTAGTAGTAGTAGTAGTAGTAGTAGGTAGTAGTAGTAGTAGTAGTAGTAATAGTAGTAGTAGTAGTAGTAATAATAGTAGTAGTAGTAGTAGTCGTAGTAGTAGTCGTAGTAGTAGTAGTAGTAGTAGTAGTAATAATAACAGGAATAGTAGTAGTAGTAGTCGTAGTAGTAGTAGTAGTAGTAGTAGTAGTCGTCGCCGTAGTAGTAGCAATAGTAGAAGTCATAATAATAGTAGTAGTAATAATAATGATAGTAGTCGTCGTAGTAATAATCGTAGTAGCAGAGGCAGCAGCAGTGGTACAGGTTCGCCTCAACGCGCGCCTCTCCGGGCCCGCACCACCTCCCCCCCCCCCTGGCTCCCTGCAGCGGCCAGCCACGGCGAGGGGGCGCTCGAGGGGAGGGCGCGAGGGAGGTCGCTGTCGCTCGGGGCGCTCCAGGGGCGCACGTCGCTGTCGGCCGAGCTCGAGAAGCCCATGAGCATGTGGACGCCCTGCCAGGGAGAGCGGAAGGGGGGAGGAGGAGGGAGGAGGAGGGAGGGGGGCGAGGATGGGGAGGAGGAGGGCGATGAGGGGGAAGGAGGGGGAGGGGAGGATCGGAGGGGGAGGGGGAGGTTGAGGGAGGGAGGTGTGGGGTGAGAGGGGTGGGGGTGAGGGGGAGGCAGAGAGGGATGGAAGGAGGTGGGTGGGGGAGGAAGAGGAGAGTGGAAGGGAAGGGGGAAGGAAGCGAGGAGGGAGAGAGAGGGGAGGGGATGGACATGGAACGGGGGAGACGCGGAGAGGGGAGCGGGACAAGAGAGCATGGGCAGGAACGAGGAGGGAGGAGGACGAGGAGAGGGAGGGGAATTGGGAGGGGAAGGAGAGGGACGGAGGGGCATGAAGGAACGTGGCGGAGAGAGGGGGAAACGGTGAGAGAAAAAAACGAGGTGGAAATCTGGATCATGAGTTGGTCTGCCTCCGAGGAGGCAGGCCCGGCAAAAGACGGACGACGAAGGCCGCAAGGGCGGTGGCGCGCATGCGGAGGCGCCCCGCTGGCTGCGGCTACCGCCGCGGGCAGAAAGGAAAACCGTCGGGGCCGTGACCAGTCCCGGGGAATGAGCCGAGACCTCTGAGGGTCGACGTTCTGAAACACAAACAACAAACAACTCCTCTCTTGACCTGAACGGGAAGCGCGCGAAAACGACGAACTTTGCAAGAACGTGCAACATCATCACGACAAAATGCAATGCAAACAAACTCTCCTCACTCGCGTTCCCCATGTCAGGTGGATTTACTTTCCGCGCGAGTTCAGACGAGGCGCACCTCCCGATGGCGCATCGCGGCATTATCCGTCTCCAGACCCCCAACTTCCCCATTCGCAGTCCTCCTATGTCAGGACGGGTTTACTTTCCGCGCGAGTTCAGACGAAGCGCACCTCCCGCTGGCGCATCTGGGCATTATCCGTCTCCAGACCTCATCGCCCCACTCAAACTCCCCTTATGTCAGGTCGACTTTACTTTCCGTGTTCAGAAGAAACGCACCCCCGGCTGGCGCATCTCAGCGTCATCCGCCTCCAGACCCCCAACCTCCCCACCCGCGTTCCCCACCCGCGTTCCCCATGACAGGTGGAGTTTACTTTCCGCGCGGCTTCAGACGAGGCGCGCCCCCCGCTGGTGCATCTCGGCATTATCCGTCTCCAGACCCCCAACTTCCCCACCCGCGATCCCACATGTCAGGTCGATGTTATTTTCCGCACGAGTTCAGACGAGGCGCACCTCCCGATGGCGCATCGCGGCATTATCCGTCTCCAGACCCGCAACCTCCGCACTCGCATTCCCCTTTGTCAGGTCGAGTTTACCTTCCGCGCGTGTTCGGACGACGCGCACCTCCCGATGGCGCATCTACGATGACGGCGACGACGCTGACGATGGCGACGACGACGACGGCGATGATGACGACAACGATGACGATGACGACGACAGTGAAGACGACGATGACGAGGAGGAGGACAACGACAACGACGATGACGATGATACTGACAACGTCGACGACAACAACGACGACGACGTTGCACATTTTGATGATGTGTCGAACGAAACGCATACGTTTGAGCGACATGGTTGGAAAACCATCGTTGCTCCAAATTGTTTGCCTCCTGGGCCGTCTTGGGGGTCCTCCAAAAGAAGGCCTCCAGTACATGTCGTAAGACAGCTTATTGCACGTCGCATTTTTGGGGGGGACGTCTCAGGCGGGAGCCTCGTTTTTGAGAATTCGACGAATCCGCAAGCTCCCTGAACATCTCCGTTTTTCGAGGATGTCTCGGGCGAGAGCTACATGTTTAACATAAAAGGTCTAACCACAGCTCTTTCGGCATCAATTTGTTGTCGAGGATGTCTCGTTTAATTCCCGCTCAAGCCATTTCGCCGCATCGGCTACTCCCTTCGCGGTGCTGCCACCCTAGCTACAGTCCCCACACACCACGCGCGCATGGTTCGTTTTTCGATGATCCTCAACTTGCCCATTCTTCAGATCGGGGGCGCGCAAGCATGGATTAGCGATCCATGGATCTGGCGCGCGGTCGCCAAATCCATGGATCGGGGGAGGTGCCCTCCCCAAAATGCGGCCGGTGCCGCCTCGCTCGGCGGCGGAAATCCGCGATTTCCCATGGAAACGGGACCCGTCGCTAATCCACGCCCACTCGATCCATGTTTGCGATCGCCTGCAACTTGCCCCTTCTTCGGATGTTCCGTGTCCACGAAAGCTCCCCCGCACGCGGCGCACGTCAGCGCCTTCGCTTCCGCCTCCGCTTCCGCCTCCAACTCGCGGCGCGACGCCAACACCTGGGGAAGCCCTCAGCACCCTCGGAGGCTCTACGCCCCTGGGAGCCCGAGAAGCAAACTCGAGAGGAGGGAGTAAAGGACAGAGAGATGAGCGGAAAAAGGAAACGAGGAGGAAGAACATGTTATGATGATACTAATACGTATTATGGTGATGGTGGTGATGGTAGTGATGATGCTGAACATGATGATGATGATAATGATGATCCTAATGATGTTGATGATGATGCTCAGGAGGAGGAGGAGAAGGATCAAACGTCCACTGAAGACCAAAAGAAGGAACCAACGACCACCGGTGCGGACCAGCATAAGGGCCTAGCTCAGACCGGGTGGGTGACGCTGTAGCCTCTGCCTTGTCGCGTGTCTGGACGCATGCAATGCAATGCGATACGAATCCGCCAACCCCTTCTGGGTCTCCAGATGTATCAGAGTCGTCCCCTGAAGGGACCCAAAGGCACCCAGAAAAGCTCAGGGGTGGCCCCGAAGAGCCCCGAGCCCGCCCAAAAAGAAAACCCAACACGACACAAGAAGGCCCCAGGACAGCAATCGAAGGTCCCCGACTACACCAAGGGGTTGGCGGATGTGGCGTGAGCCTATATGACCATGACGTCGGGGGTTTGGGAGCGAAGCCAGCCGCAGAGCGCACCCATCCGGCCGCGGCAGCGGCAGAAAGTGCCCCCCCCCCCCGGAGGGGCGCGTCCTCCGCGACGGCCAGAGGGCGCACTTTCGCGCGCCGATGCCGACGCGTAGACTCTGCCGTGGGCTGCCGCTATTCGCCCGTGCGGTCACAGGCGCAGCCGATCCCACGCAAAGGGTAGCTTTAAGTCGGGCCTGTCCCTCTACAGGAATATTCAAAAAAATATTCAAAACATATGGGAACGATGTTTTACTTTTCTGCACACTTTTCGGCTAATTTTCTTCCTCCCAAAATCCGCCTGTAGGAGGACATGCCCGACCTAAGGGTAGCTCTGCCCATGCTGTTTCGCTTCGCGGCCCAGGTGGGGGCCGCGGTTCAATCGCACGCGCTGCCCGTCGACCACAGCTGCAGGGTGCTGAAGGGGCAGCGGTCGCCAGCGCCGCTCCTTGCGCGGACCACGGCTTTGCTGAGATTGTGATCTACAGGGTTGGCGTCAAGGCACCACCAAGCAGAAGGATGCGCCCGCTCGTCGTCCGCTCGATCGCATCGCCCTCGAACTCCTGGCGGGCGCCGGGAGGTGCGAAGAAAGCAGACACAGACGCGCGTCACCCACGCATCGGTGCTGGAGCAGCGCAGCGCTCCTCCCCGAAGAGAGCAGCAGCCCCCGCCTGGCCCAACAAGTGCAAGCACTCAGCCCCTCAGCGCCCGCACGGCTCAGCCGTCCAAATGCGCCCTCGGGGGCAGGAGCCGGGGTTGGGGCCCCCCTGCGGCAGAGGAAGTCCCTGACCTGCTCGTGTCAACCTTGGCTCGGCTCCTCGCCCTCGCCGTCGGCGGCGGACGCAGGTGGGCTCGGAGCCCGTTCGGCCGGGCGGGCCGGCCCGCGGCCGGCTCCGCGCCCGCGGCCGTGGTGGCTCGGCCTGGCCGCGGCTGCAGCGGCGGGGCGGCAGGAGGAGGAGGAGCAGGTTCTGGAGCTGCCTCCTAAAGCCCTCGACCTCCAGGGTGCCGTCCGTGGTTGCAGTGGTGGGCGCCGGGGTGCCTCTGCCCATCGACGCCATTGGTCCCAGGAGGCCGAGACAGCACCCGTCGGTCGGAAGAAGTGGATAGAAGCATGAAGTAGGAAGGCGCTGGAAGTACAGCCCACCCGTATAATAAGGATGCGCGGTAAGGATGCAAGGGCCTCGGAAGGCCACCGCCCGCCCCCTGCAGAGGAGGGGTAGGTAGGTGAAAAATGCTCGACACTTAAAGTAGCAAGGGGCTAGAGTAGATTGTGATCTGGGCAATCCAAAATACTTACCTCAACGGACAGCGTGTATATAGCTTGGGCTTGCGGAGACACCGCCCTGGAACAGCCTCGTGGCAACACCGGATGCCACCCGCAGAGCCCTCGTTGTAGGCCCGTGTCGCGCTGGGCGGGCGGGCGGGGGTGGCGGGGTGGCGGGGTGGCGGGAGGGCGGCTGCGGCGGAGCTCGGCTCAGGGTCTGGAGGGCTGCCCTGGAGCCGCAGAGGCAGCTCTGGGGAGCGCGGCCTCTCAGAGGCTCCTGGGGGTCTCAGTGGGGGGTGCTCGAGAGCTCTGGGAGGCATGGGGGGGCCTGTGAGGCCTCTTCAGGACGTCTTGGGCGATACTTTGGGGGTCTCTCTTTTGGGACCTGTCGGGGTCTTCTTGGGGCTCTGGGAGCTTGGAGGACGTTCCCCCCGTTAACGCCCTGGCGGGGTGGCCTTCCGCTGCCTCGGGGCACGCGCTGTCCAACAATTCCACTGCCACAGGGCTCCTGGCCGTCTCGCATCGACGCAGGGCGAGTCGCAGGCAGCCTCCGGCGCCGCCCCTGGCGCGCTTCGCGCGCCAGGGAGGGGGGTCCAGAGCCGATCCGAGAAAGCCGCGCGGGTTTCCGAATTTTTACGTTTGTGTCATTCTTCCTTCCCCTGGGTCGGAAGTCCTCGGGCCTGCCCACGCCACGTCCACGCTCCGCGCAGGACCGTCCGCCCCCACTGCTGCCCCCCTGCAGCCCGCGCACCACCTGCCACGGCGAGCAGCCCGCCGCCTCCGGCAATGCGTGCGGAGAGCGTCGCCGGCAGCCGGGCCACCCCTGGCCATCGCTCGGACATCCATTCCCTGTGTTTTTTTCGGTTTCGTGCGTGTTTTTTTTTTTTGTAAAACAAATTTTCGTCAAATGATCAAGGATGCTCCTCGATGGTCCTCGCCGAAGGAAAAATGCACACGTCCGAGCGATGCCAGGACCCCGGGTCGCCCTGCCCGTTCCTCCTCCTCCTCCTCCTCGCCTGCCGCGCCTCGCGGCGTGGCCCGGCGCGGGCCGGCGCGGAGCCAGAGCTGTGGGCCCTCGGCCGGCCAAGCACGAGCTCGAGCGAGCCCGCCTCCAGCTCGAGCGAGCGGAAGGAGGGGGATCGAGGGTCGAAGACAGAAGGGGGAGGAGGAGGAGGAGGAGGAGGAGGAGGAGGAGGAGGAGGAGGAGGAGGAGGAGGAGAAGGAGGGGAAGGATGAGGAATGTGGGGGTGAGCCCGGGCTTTGCGCCAAAGAGCCGTCCATGTCTTCTGGCAATCATATTGTTGACCTGTCCGTTCTGACCCGCGACAGCTTGTGGATGCACCCTTTGCTACATGGACCGGGCTCAGACATGAGTGCAAAAGAGGTGACTCAGCAGAGAGATTCACGGCCTGGCAGCCTGGCAACTGTGGAACTTCCGACCATTGTAATGGCCTCCCTCGTGGTCGTGGATCAACTAGCTCGAAGAATATCACGGCGGTTAGGGGACAGGAGCGAGGAAGGGACGAGGAACGAAGAAGGACGGCAGAGAGAGAACAGAGGACCAATGAGAGAGAGTGGGAGGGAGGGAGGGAGGGTGGGAGGGAATGAGGGGCAGGGCTGGCGAGGGGCAGGCGAAGAGAGGAGAGGCGAGAAGAGGGGGAGAGGAAGGGATGGGGGAGGCGAGGGGGAGGAACGGGGAGGCAATGGAGAGGAGAAGGGCTGGAGGGGGGACTGTAGGGCGCAGGGAGCAGTGAACACCAGGGAGACAAGGACAACGACGAGCGGGCCTCCCGCAGGACCTCCGACCCCTCGCCCCGCGCTCGCAGCGGGCCGGCCACCCTCCCCCCGCCCCCGCGCCTGGAACACGTACCGCGCCTCCGTCCCCTCTATGTTCAGCACGCCCTTGGAGCGAAAGATGTCCACGCCTCCAAGGAAGAGGTGCGGGGAGGTGGAGGAGGAGGGGGAGGCGGAGGAGGAGAAGGAGGAGGAGGAGGAGGTGGAGGAGAGGGAGGAGGAGGAGGCGAGGGAGGAGGAGGAGGAGGAGGAGGAGGAGGAGGAGGAGGGAGGAGGAGGAGGAGGAGGAGGGGGGGAGGAGGGGAGGAGGAGGAGGAGGAGGAGGAGGAGGACGCCGACAGCAACGACGAGATGTTTTTGTCCACTCGGAGGCCCCAGGCATCTATCTCGGGCCCCTTCCAGGGGACGGGCGCCTCACCCTGGGTCGTTTATTGACGGTCCCAGGGCCCAGAAAATAGGCCTGCAGGCACATCCGCCTTCACGATGATGGTGATGATGGTGATGATGATGCTGATGATGATGATGATGCTGATGATGCTGATGATGAGGATGATGAGGATGACGATGACGATGACGATGACGATGACGATGACGATGACGATGACGATGACGATGACGATGACGATGATGATGATGATGATGATGATGATGATGATGATGATGATGATGATGATGATGATGATGATGATGATGATGAGAATGATGAGAATGATGATGAGAATGATGATGATGAAGATGAGGAGGAATATGATGATGACGATGACGATGACGATGGCGATGCCAAAGGCGACGATGATGACGACGACGTCATCATCGGCATCATCCTCGTCGTCGTCATCGTCATCGTCGTCGTCATCATCGATTGGTTCAGTCCGTTGGAAGTCTGCGACCTTGCTGCCCTCCACGCCCCTGGGCTGCGAGCAGCAGGACAATTGGGCAGGGACCGACCGTCCCAGCATTTCTATAGGCCTACCACGAAGTGTTCTCAGAACCCAGGAATATTCTAAGAACAGAAACGTTGTTATTAGAACACATCCCCGATTTGATAAAAACAAGACAGTCCCAGCAAGACATGTTCTAAGAACATTTCGTGGAAACCACAACAGGTTCTTGGAACATTGTTTGGTGGGCCTATCGGCCAACCACGACGCTTCGCCACTGCTCGCGACGGGGAGAGCGCGCGCAGGCGCGCGCCCTGCTTCTCGAGCAGCCGGCTGAGCCACGCGTTCAGCCTCGGCAGGTCGAGCGCGCCGTCGAACTGGATGCCCACGCTGGTGCCGCCGGGCCCCAGCAGGGCCCCCTCCTCCATCTCCTCCTCCTCCCTCCTCCTCCTCCTCCTCCTCCTCCTCCTCCTCCTCCTCCTCCTCCTCCTCCTCCTCCCGTTTTTTTCCTCCCCCACGAGCACCACCACATCCGCAGGTAGCGGTGTTGGGGGAGGGAGGCGGGCAGAGGGGGAGAGGCGTGGATGCGGGGGGGGGGGGGGGCAGAGGGGAGAGGGGAGAGGGGGGGAGGGGGCAAGCCAGGTGCGCTCGCGTCCTATCGGACGTTTTAGTTACCACTCCCTCCCATCCCTTGCCGTGGCGCAGCTCTCCTCTCCATTCGCGCAAGCGGATGTCGCGACACGGCACAGCATTACACGGAATAGCATGGTGCTGGAGATCAACGCGTAGCATGACATAGTATGGCGTGGCGACGCCTCAAAGGGGAGGGGCTTCTGCGGCCCAAAAAGGGGGGAGGGGAGATGGGAGAATTCGAGAGGGGAGGGGGGCTACGGAGGCGAGGCTTGTGGCTGGGTGGGCGGGGAGGAGGGTGAGGGAGAGGGAGAAGGAGAGGGAGAGAACTAGTGAGAGAAAGACACAGAGAGTGAGGGAGAGCAAGCAGAGAAGTAGCAGCGATCATAAAAAAATCAGAGAGAGAGAGAGGGAGAGAGAGAGAGAGAGAGAGCAAGAGAGCAAGAGAGCAAGCAAACAAATACCACAACGGTTCGGACCGCGGGCCCGGGCGCCTGGCGGACAGAGCTCGCCGCGAAGGCTGACGAGACCCACGGCGTGTCGGAAGACACGCGGCAGCGTGGCAGTCTGGGGCCCGAGTGCCAAGCAGCGCGCGCTGGGGTTCCAGCGCTCGTCAAAGGCTGAACGACTTCTGCCGTCCTTCGACTCGCGCTGGAGCGGCCGCGATTTGCTCCAACTGTCCTTGGAGATCTCTGGATTTACCTGGATTTGCTCGGATGTATCTCGATTCACCTGGATTTGCCTCGATGGATCTGAATTTACCTGGATATATGAATGGCTCGATCCCCACAAGTCGATTGGCGAAACGTCGACCAACCCTTCGGGACGCGCGCGTGGGGGGCGGAGCAAAATGGCCGCCGGCGCCCGCCCGGCGGGGCGAGCTCCGTCGGTCCGCAGGCGGGCCCAGTCGCGAGGGAGCCCTCGCCGAGGGGGGGGGAGAGCGAGGCCTGCGCGCGGTGCCGCAGTTCTTACATAAGAGATTGTCCCAAATCTTTTGATCGGCCGTCTTTCCAAACTGATCTGGCATGCTGTAGAGGTCGAAACTCTGCGACCGTGCCAGGAGAGGCACGGGGCAGCGTGGAGCGGCTAGCAGCAGCACGCGCGCGGTGGCAGTGTGGCGTGGGAAGGGGGGGGGGGGGCGGGACGAGCACAGGGGCCGACCCCCCCGCCGCCGTCAGAGGGGAAACCGCAGGTCCGAGGGGAGAGGTATGGGGGCCGCCACCCGAGGGGAGGAGGGGTGGTGGGCGGTGAGCAGAACAGCACGCACCACGACCACGACGACGCAGACGCCGACGACGACGGAGACGAGGCGCGCAGACGATCCGCAACCAAAGCACGGAGTTGGGAAGGGGCCCGCCCTGCAGGTTCGGTTGAACAAGGAGGAGGGGTGGGGAGGAGGACGAAGGGACGAGGGAGGGATGGAGGAAGGTGCGGAGGAAGGGAGAGGAGGCAAAGGGTACATAGCGCTACCCTTCCCTCGTTTCCCTCTTTCTGGGGCCTCCTGGGAGGCCCTCGTCGCCACCGCTGGACTCGCCTCGAAATCCTGGTCAGGACGTACCCCGGGAGAGGCCTGGGGAGCAGCCGTAATTGGTACGTTTGGGCCTGCCCGGGGAGGGAAAGGGAAACAAGAGGACGAGAGGGGGGAGGGAGAGGGGACAGAGTAGGGGAACGACAAATTACATAAACATAAAACTCGGAGGTCCGCGCGGATTTCTTAGATCCGCGATGTGGCGCGCGGAGCGCGCCAGGGGCGGCGCCGGAGGCGCCGCCAGGGGGTCCAGCGCCGACACAAGAAATCCGCGCGGACCTCCGAGTTATTATGTTTATGTCATTGCTCGTTCCCCCAAGGAAGCACGAGGACGAGGGGGGAGGAAGAGGGGACAGAGGGGGAGCGGTACCCTGCCAGCAAGGGTGAGGGCTCCTGGGAATGGGGGGGGGCCCAGGAAGCCGAAAGCCAGCAATCTTCGCGAACGCGGCACGCGGTGGCAGATCGGCGATCCGCGCGTCGTCAGCGGTAGTTTGCGACAGGCTCGGGCGAAGCCCGTGCGAGGTGCGCAATGGCAAGGCCATAGGTTTGGGCGACCTTGGCGTTTGAACCAGGAAGGCCTCGACAGCAGGCCAGGACACACATTTGAAGGGACCTCTCAAGCTTTCGTCATGCCTGCGCAGTGTCCGTAAGAGCAAGAACGCAGCAGAGCACAGGAGGGCGAGCAGACAGCTACGGAGCTCGGACATGCAGAAGCAAGGTGCGGACGGCGCAGCAAAGCCCCAGGAGGACACGGACGAGGCGCCCGATGGGGACGCCCCCATCCTGGACCTGAGCGGTGCGGCGCAGGCAGGAGGCCATCTCCGCAAGGCTGGCGCCGCGGCGGCCTTCACGGCACACGGCCACGCGGATCCCCCGCTGCGTGACCGCCCAGAGCTCCAGGCTACAGCGCGTGGCTGTGGACGCGCGCGGGCAGGAGAACTCAGGAGGACATCCAGCTGCGCCAGCCAGGGCGGAGGGCCGCAACGTAGAGGTTTCTAAGATGGGGTCCGAGAAGGTGGGGTCGGATGATTGCGCTGGATCGCCGATGTATCGGCGATGTCGGCGTGAGGAAACTCGGGCTCCACATCGAGCCGCATCGCTGAGGCATCGGCGATGCGGAGCGATCCTTCGACCCCATCTACTCGGACCCCATCTAGGAGGCCTAGAGCAAAGATAGCGCGGTCGAGGGCGTTCTTGCACCTGGCGATGGGGGCCTTGACGCCAGGCAAGGAGCGGACAACACTGGCCTCTTCCACCGTGCCGGCCGGGAGCCGCGTGAGGCGCTGGAGGTCAGGCCGTGGTTCGGGCACCTGCGGGCACCTGCGGCGGCAGGCACGCGTTGAGTTCCTCCCGCCCCGGGGCGCTGGCAACGTTGCCCACAGACCCCTCCGTTTGCCCAGATGACTGCGGCGTCGTCTTCTTTGCTATCCGTGATGCGTACTCTTCTGTTTAATGATGTTATGTTGTGCTTTGTTGTTTGGGCGTTCCCCTGTACTCCTCACTCTTTCTCGTTGCCCCTCCTTCAATATCCTCCCCTTTGGGCCCCATGGTGGGGGACCAAGAAACCAAGAAACCAAGAACACCTTGCCAGGCGTTGCGTTGTCTTGTTATTTTTGTCTGGTCTGGGTGTTCAAAAAAGCTGGCCGGGCGTTGGTTTGTTTTGTTGATTTTTCCTGGTTTCGGAACCCACAAAACCTGGCCCGTTGTTGTGTTGTAACTGTTTCTCTGGTCTGGGAGTCCACGATACCTAGCCTGGAGGTAGGGGGTTTGCGAACTACGGCCGTCGGACAAGAAAACAACAGCACACAAAAAACGCCTGGCCAGGTTTTGTTTGCCCCCAGACCAGAAACAACAAACTCGAAAAACCAACGCCCGGCCAGGTTTTGTGGGCTCCAGACCAGAAAAAACAAAACAAAACAAAAACGCCTGGCCAGGTGTTGAAAGCTCCCAGACAAGAAAAACCAGAAAAAGCCAACGCCTGGCCACCAGGTTTTCTGAGCTCCCACACCAGAAAAATCACAAAAACCAGCGCCTGGCCAGGTTATCGGGAGCTCACAGGCGCAATGTATCTTGCGTGTCGGAAGCGCAATGTTTCCTCTCTGTCGAATACGCAACTGTTCCTCCTCGTCAGAAGCGCAAGGCTTCATGTTTGGTGGAACGCAATGCTCTGGATTCATCGAAGCGCAATGCTTCGTCGTCGTCGAAAGCGCAATGTTTCCTCCTTGACGGAAGCGCAACGTTTCCTCCTCTGTCGGAAGCGCAATTCTTCCTCCTCGTCGGAACGCAATGCTCTGGACCCCTTGAAGTGCAAGGCTTCGTGCTTGTCGGAAGCGCAATGTTTCCTCCTCGTCGGAAGCGCAATGTTTCCGCTTTGTCGGAAGCGCACTGTTTCCTCCTCGTCGGAACGCAGTGCTCTGGTCCCCATCGAAGCGCAAGGCTTCGTGCTTGTCGGAAGCGCAACGTTGCCTCCTCGTCGGAAGCGCAATGCTTCCTCTCTGTCGGAAGCGCAATGCTTCGTCCTCATCGGAAGCGCAATGTTGCCTCTCTGTCGGAAGCGCAATGTTTCCTACTCGTCAGAAGCGCAATGCTTCCTATTCGGTGGAACGCAGTGTTTTGGATTCGTCGAAGCGCAATGCTTCGTCCTCGTCGCTCGCCGGAGGCGCAACGTTTCCGTAGCTGTCCGTGGGTCGAGCACTTCCCTCTTCGCTACCGCACCCTCCACCTAGACTCGCGCCCTCGCCATGCTCGCTCTGATGGGTTGCGCGGCCAAGACCCAGCACCCCGTGAAGGCGAGCACGGGCTGCGCCAACGCGGACATGACTGCCGCTTCCGACCACGACACTGTCGCCCCCGACGGCGTCAGCAACGCCCCGCCGCCAATGACCCCCGAGGGTCTGGCGCGGGACATGCGCGACTCTCTCCGCTACTTCTTGGCTCGCCAGTTCGCGCACAGCACTGATCGGGACGATTGTGAAGACGAGCCGCTGCAGGGGCACATCAAAAACACATTGCGGCGAGTCGGCAATGTGAACCGCCACGACACCACCGAATTCAAGACGGCCGTGCTGACATTGTTTGGCGCTGTCTTGCTGAGGCGGGCGGGTCTAGCGAGCGTGCTTGATGCGCTGGGTCGGTACATGGTTGCGTGCAGCAGCGGCGCAGCGCAGATGGCGCAGAAGGGTTGCTTCCGCGCGGGACTGTGCAAATGGGCCCAGGCCTACAGAAACCTCTCGTCTGTCAGATAGCTGTATTTGCATTTTGCCGTAGATGCAGTTGCCGCCTCGGCATCAGATCGCGCGCGAGTGGGGCGCGTGCGACAGAACAAACAAGTCGCCCTCCTTTCACATACCCACCCCATCTCTATTGTCTTTGGGCGCGTGTATTATCTGCTTTATTCGTGTGATTTGACGGCGTCGCGCACGCCGCGCATCTGGGGGTTGAGGAGAGGAGAACAGGGCGGACGGGGAGGGGGGTAATCAGGAAAAGAAGAGGGATGTAGAGGAGGACCAGGGAGGGGATGAGGAAAAGAAGAGGGGGCGAATAGGAGGACGATGCCCCCTCAGCCTGGGCAAACGGAGGCGTCTTGTCGCAACGTTGGTGCAGCTCCTGACAAGCGAGCGTTTTCTTGCTCTCACAATTTACTCAGGAGCGGCGCTCCCGCTTGAAACTTCTTCGTAATGACATCAAGACTTCCCCGCGATTTAATCAAGACCCCCGCCCCCGCCAGAGAACCCTTCACATCTTATTCAGGAATTGCGATCTCGCTTGTGACTTCCATGCAACGTATTCAAAAATAGCGCTTGGACGCCGTTACACTTTAATTAGTAACCGCGCTCTCGCCATACTCAGGCATCCCGCTTGAATGTCCCACCCGCCCGATCCGCCCGTCAGGGGATCGCCCGTCCGTCGTGGACTCCCGCCCGAGACTTCCTTCAGGAACGGCGCTTTCGCCTAGGACGCCCTCGAACGTTCACGTTTTTCTCTTCCTGCTCCTCCTCCCTCTTCCTCATCCCTCCTCACTCCTCTCCTCCCTCTCTCTCCCTCCTCTCTTCCCTCATCAGTATGCCTCTCTGCCCTGTCCCCTCTCCCTCCTCTTCCTCCTCCCTCCATCCTCCCCTCTCCTGCCTCCTCCCTCCCTCTGTCTTTCTCGCTCTCTTATCTCTCTCTCTCTTTTGCTCTACCTCTCTTATATGTCTGTTTGTCTCTCTCTCTCTCTCTGCCTCTAATCAACCGCCCCCCTCTTCGCTCCTTCTCTCCTGGCGTTTTCCCTCTTCATTCGTCCTTCCCCCTCCCTTCCTCCCACTCCCCCTCGTTCGCCCCCTCTTTTTGCAGGGGCCACACCAATTCCAATGGCGGGCAAATGTACGCCACCGAAGGATTGTCCACCCGGTCAGGTTTGCCCGCATGTCTAAGCCCGCCGCCCCCCGCAAAGAGAAGTAATCCCCGCAAAGGGGGTGTGATCGAAGACAAAAAGGGCGGGTATCGAGGGTGTGGGGAACTTGTTTTGAATGACACGCGGGCAAGTAAGAACGAACAGTCTTAGAATGATGGTTGTTGTTGATGTTGTTGCTGTTGTAGTGTTGTCGTTGCTGTTGCTGTTGTTGTTGCTGGTGTTGTTGTTTGTTGTCGTCGTTCCACCCCGCGACCCACCCGCGACCCACCCTGCGACCCACCCGCGACCCACCCCGCGACCCACCCGCGACCCACCCCGTGACCCACCTTCAAGGGAGGAAAAACCACTCGGAACCGACAATTGACGCTTACTGAACGGCCCTGGGCGTTGACTAAGCAACCCTGCCATGTTGGAGTCATTCCTTGTGTGCGTTTACTGAACGGCTTCGCTTGCTGTCGTGAGAATTATGTCGCGGGTGAATTGCGGGTGGGTCGCGGGTGGGTCGCGGGGTGGGTCGCGGGTGAGTCGCGGGGTGGGTCGCGGGTGGGACGACGACAACAACCAACAACCAACAACCAACAACCAACAACCAACAACCAACAAACAGACAACAAACAACAAACAACAAACAACAACAAACAACAAGCAACAAACAAACAAACAAACAAACAAACAAAAACAACAACAACAACAACAACAACAACAACAACAACAACAAGAAACAACAACAACAACAACAACAACAACAACAACAACAACAACAACAACAACAGCAACAACGACAACGACAACGACAACGACAACAACAACACCAACAACAACAACAACAACAACAACAACACCTACAACAGCAACAGCACCAACAACAACAACCATAACCACAACCACAACCACAACCACAACAACAGCGCAGCAAACATAATTCTCACCACGAGTTCCTCATTCAGCCACGCACGCAAGGACAGTGAACGACCGTTCGGCCCCCTCACTCTGATAAATGTGTTGCTCTTCTCCTGGGGCTCGAATCCGATATGTTTACATATGTTCCTACAACATACCCCTCTCCTTGGGCTCGAGTCCTGTGCGTTGTACGTATAGTTTGATCGATGGTTCCTCTCCAGGGGCTCGAACCCTGTGTGCTCAGGTCTATCCACATAACATGTTGTTTCACGAAGGGCTCGATTCCTTAGCCTTTTACATACATTTCTAAGTGCTGTCGCTCTGCGTTCTACGTCTGTTCCTATTTGATTGCCCCCCTTCCTGGGGTTCGACTCTTGGTGCGCTCTCCGTGCACTCCTACAGGTTGCTCCCCTCCTGATGCTCGAAGCCTTCGTGTTCTGGTGCGCTCCAATCGACTGCTCCTGCTCGGGGGGGTTACATCCCCCCTCCCCTCCCTGGGTCTGGACGGCGGGGGCCCCGTGTCAGAGCATTCGTTTTTGTCCAAGATGGCTCCAAGAGGGCCCCAGAGACCCTAAGATGACCTCCAAGATGGCCCAGGATAGCTCAAGATGGCTCGTGATAGCCTCCGACACGCATCCAAGAGACCTCAAGACGGCCCCAAGAGGGTTTCAAATGCCCTCCGAGCCCTCCGAGGACCCCTCCAAGAGGCCAACATCCTTCAAAATCCAAAGGAACATCAATGGTTTTTGCCTTTTCGCTTTTCCGCCTCCGATGGGTTGGTTCTTGAGGCCTCAATATGGTCCCAAGACGGCCCAAGAGAGCCCCAAGAGGGGCCCAATAGGGCCCCAAGACGGCCTCAAGAGCGCCCAGGAGAGTTCCAAGAGCGGCCCGAGAGGGCCCCAAGGCGGCATGTTTGAGCCTCCGAGAGGGCGATCCGAATTAATACCCCCTCTCTTTCTGAACAACGGGGGCCAAGACGGCCCCAAGAGTCCTCCCAGACCCCCCCAAAGACTTCCAAGAGGGCTCCACAGACCCTGCAATGACCCTGCAAAGTCCTAGCAATGACCCAGCAAACACCCTGCAATATCCAACATCATTCCTCCCCTGCTTGGGAGGTTTACATCCCCCCCTCCTTGAGCGTGACTCATTGCAGCGTCCAAGATGGTCCAAGACGGCTCCAAGAGGGCCCTAGAAAGCGAACGATGGCCTGCTCCTCCTCTTATTATGGTTTACTCGTCCTCCTCCTCCTCCTCCTCCTCCTCCTCCTCCTCTTCCTCATCCTCCCCCTCCTCCTCCTCCTCCTCCTCCTCCTCCTCCTCCTCCTCCTCCTCCTCTTTCTCCTCCTACCCCCAAGATGACCCCAGCAGCACCACCACCAGCAGGACCAGGAACACCACAAGCAGCAGCACCAGCAGCAGCAGCACCACCACCAGCAACAGCAGCATCAACATCAACAGCAACAGCACCAGCAGCAGCATCAGCAGCAGCACCGGCAGCAGCACCAGCCCCTGAACAATTTCGAAACGCACCCGAGCTTAAGATACAAATCAGTGCAAGGGCTAAGATCACGGATGCCCATCGAGATGCGACTCTAATCTGCGCAACATTGGCGTCGGATCGTAGATACAGCAACGTGCGCCAAATACGCATACCGCAAGGAACACCATGGCGCATCTGGCGCTGAATGTTGTCTTAAACTTCGCTGCGCGGAGCTATTTGTGGTCCTTGTTTTCTGACCCAAGGTACTGCCCACCCAATTTTGACGCTTCCAAAACGGTTGTGCGACCGTGTCCTTCCAGGCGTCCCTGATTAACCGACTCAAGTGGTGATCGTTTCTAGATGGGCTGGTGGGGATACGCGAAGCGTCAAGAATCTGCATTATAAGCTTGCGGGGCCTCGCGCAAAGCTCCCCGCGAGGACGGGAGGGGGCAGGGCATGTTTCACCACGGGGCTCCACAAGCTACAGGGGTCCCGAAGAGATATGTTAGGGTGGTGGCGCCTGTCAGAGCTCACCGCAGACCATGCCGCCACGGAGAGGGAGGAACCTACGCAAGGCGCAGGGGGGAGGCAGGCGCAGCCCGCTTTCTCCGCACTGCTCGGAGGCGGGCGAAAGAACTGTCGCCCGACGGCGTAGCTCGGCTGGCGCTCCAGTGAACGCTCCGGCCAAACAACCAGTCGCTGCCTGACTGTAGTCGCTAGCGGCGCGCGCTCCGGAGACAGGGTGACAGAGAGAAGGAGAGGGAGGGAGGGGGAGAGAGGGGGAGAGAGAAAGAGAGAGAGGCGAAGGGAAGGGGCGGGAGGGAGGGAGGGGGGCGGGAGACGGGAAGGAGGGGGGGATGGAAGCAGGGGACAGGCGGTGAGGGGGGGAGAGGCGGTGAGGCGTCGGCCTACCGAAAATCGTGCCGTCGTGCTGGTGCTCGCCGTCGACGTTCAGGAACTCGTCGTCGAACTCCTCTGGGGGCCGGTCGCGGAAACGCCTGGAGGACGCGCGGCGACCGCCAGCCTCTGTGATCGCAATCCTGCACCTCCTCCGTCTGCTCTACCTGCTCCTCCCCCTCCGATGGTTCCCTTCTTCCTCTCCATTCCCTCGTCCTCGTGGTTCTCCTCGCTCTCCGCCGCCTAGTCCTTCTCCTCAAGAGCTCACAATCATTTCCTTAGTCCTCCTCCTCCTCCTCCGCCTCCTCGTCCTCGTCCTCCTTCTCCTCCTCCTCCGCCTCCTCATCCTTGTCCTCCTCATCCTCCTCCTCCTCCTCCTCCTCCTTTTCCTCCTCCTCCTCCTCCTCCGCCTCCTCCTCCCCTCCCCTCCTCCTCCTCCTCCTCCTCCTCCTCCTCCTCCTCCTCCTCGTTCTCCTTCTCCTCCTCATCCTCCTCCTCCTCCTCCTCCACATCCTCATCTTCGAGAGAACGCGTTTCACGGGCGCTAGCCTTGGGAACATTCGGCGGCGCGTCTCAAACCGAGGGGTGGCCCCCCCCCCAACACTCGGCGCCGTCGATCAAAACCAAGGGGACTCCCCTCCCCCCCAAGCCCTCCCCTCCCGAACCCCCCCCACCCGCCAGGGGGGGGGGTTCAAACCTTCCCCCCCCCTCGGCGCAGCAGCGCCCACGGCGGGGACGCACCGACGATGACCAGAGGCAGCCCAGTGGGGGGGGGTGTTCAATCCCCCCCCCCATTCCCAAGGGGGGGAGGGGAGTTCAAACCCCCCCCCCCTGCGCCGGCGCCGGCGCTGGCGGCCGCCAGCAGCGCCCATGGCGGGGACGCACCGAAGATGACCAGAGGCAGCCCAGGGGGGGGGGTTCAACTCCCCCCCCCATTCCCAAGGGGGTGGGGAGGGCTCGGGTGGGGAGGGCTCAGAACCCTCCCCCCCTCGGCGCCGACGCTGGCGGCGGCCAGCAGCGCTGGCGCTGGCGGGGACGCAGCGACGATGACCACCACTACCACCACCACCACCACCACCACCACCACCACCTCAAACCACCACCACCACCACCACCGCCTCAACCCACCACCATCACCAACATCAACAGCAACACACAACCACCATCACCACCACCACAGCCGCCACCACCATCACAACCACCACCGCAACTCACCATCACCACCACCACCACCAAAACCCACCACCACGACCACCACCACCACCAATCTACCACACCACCACCACCACCGCCACAACCACCACCACTACCAGCAGCACAACCCATCGCCACCACCTCAAACCACCACCACCACCACCACCGCCACCACCGCCAACACAACAAACGTCCACAGACCACAGCCACCACCACAACCCACCACCACCACCACGACAAACCACCACCACACCACCACAACCACCACCACTAACACAATTCACCATCACCTCCACCACCACCATCACAATCTACCACACCACCACCACCACCGCCACAACCACCACCACTACCAGCAGCTCAACCCACCGCCACCACCACAAACCACCGCCACCACCACCACCACCACCACCCGCCACCACCACAACCACCACCACCACCACCACAACAAACGTCCACAAACCACCGCCACCACCACAACCCACCACCACCACCACAAACCAGCACCAAATCACCACAACGACCACCACCACCACCACAACTCACCACCACCACCACCACCACCACCACCAACCCACCACCACTACCACCACCACCGCCAGTCTACCACACCCACCACCACTACCACAGCACAACCACCACTACCACCACAAACCACCACACCACCACCACCGCCACCACCACCACAAGCACCACCTCCACAAACCACCGCCAACGACAACCCACCACCACCACCACCACCACAACACCACCACCACACTACCACCAACCACCACCACACCACGCACCCCCACCACCACCACAAACCGTCACCACAACACCACCACCACCACCACCACCACCAACAGGCACCACCACCACCAGCACCACCACCACCACTCACCACCACCACCACCACCACACCACCACCACCACCACCACCACCCACCGCCACAACCACCACCACCGCAACAAACCACCACCGCCACAACAACCACCACCACCACAACTCACCACCACCACCACCGCCACCGTCGTCCTCGTCGACGCTTTTCGCCACCGCCGCCCGCCGCCGCAAGCGCCGGCACTGGCCAAGAAATGGAAATCGTCGTCCCCGCCGAAGTCGCCAGCAGCCGCCGACCCAAGCGCAGCGCCAGCCCAAGGAGAAGGGAACCAGGAGGGGGAAGGGGTCCTGAGGGGGGGGGGTGGTCCGGTTCCAACCCCCCCCCCTCTCCAAGCGACCACAGAACTGGCTCTTTCTCATCTTCATATCCTCCCCGCCCGCCCCCTCCCTTTCTCCCCCCCTCCTCTTTCAGCGTTTTAGCTTTTGACCTACATGATCCCACGCCGCGAAACCAGCAGCAGAGACAGGGGGTGGCAGGGGGGGAGCAAAATTAGGGCCCGCAGCACCTCACCCTCTCTTAATGGGGATGCTGCGGCCGAAATGTGATGTGGTAGATGGGTCTATCCCCCTCTCGAAGAGGGACAGGCTGTTGACAGCATCTCGATTCGCTGGCCGACCGAGGCGCTCGTCTGCCAATCTCAAGATCTTAGCTCTGCCAAACCACCCACACACCACGCAGAAATACAAACGTCGATCCTGGACGGACTCGAGACTGCCCCGAAGTCTATAGGACAAGTGCGCCTGGCGAATAAACTCGGGCAGACCTGTGCACTGAGTTAAGACCAGGCCAGAGTATGTCGTAGATCTGGACAAACAAATTTTGCACACAAAACCTTTCCCACAGTGCTGAACCTGATGGCCATTCGGGCTCGGCACTATGAGCAAATCGTTGGGGCTCGCTCTGGGCGTAGCCTTACAACAATCAACATCAGGAAACCGACTCTTTGACACATTGCCGGGAATCCTCGCCGTAGATCTGGCCAGAGCGAGAAGACGCTCGGCCTGCCTGGCCCCCAGGTCCTGGAGGCACTGCGAGCGGGGCACCTCGCTGGCAGGCGTCTTGGACAACAAAATCCGCCGCGCGATTGCCGTGCCAGGCTCAGTCTCGACATCCTAGCGCTGCAGCTCTCAATCTTGTCTGGTGAGCGGGCACCTTGAGGAAAGAAGCGGCTTCAGGGCCTCGGTCCGAAATCAAACTGCTTCCCAAAACGCATCGAAGGGCAGGTCCGTGCAGTCCTGATCACACCCTCGGTCAGTGAAAGAGATCAAATCTGCACCATATATATATATATATATATATACCGACCTCGAGAGACTCAGGCCCTGCATGCCTGAGGATCACGAGCACTGCATACAACTCAGTTCCATATATGTCCTGCATGGGGCGAGGGGGGGGGGGGGGGCCTGGCGCGCTGGCCAAGAGATCTCCAGCATCGCCCATCATGGCAAGCGCCCCAACCAGCTCTGCTGCGATGTCTAATTCGCGGCTCCACTACAGAGCCATCGGGCCTTATCTTGCCTGATGCGGCACCTTCTGGCGGGGGAACGATCCACCTCGACCTTTCCAGGGTCTAGGGGACGGGGGGCCACTTAGTGGGGGGGGGGTGCGCACCCAGTGAGGACGGGGTCATCAGGGCCCCCCATTCCCAGTCAGACAGCCCCTTTTCAAATCCCTGGCCCCTCCTGAACTGCCGGTCCCCAGGGCGCCCGAAGATTATGCGAAACCTTCCTCCTCGGGGAAAACCACAAAGCTGACGGGCTCCGCTCGGAGCCCGCCGATCCTGAAATCGCTCCAGCTGCCCCAGAAAACCAATGGAGCCGAGTTGCTGATGTAGGCAGGGTCCGCCGCCTCGTTGCCAGCGAGAGCGAACTGCATCGTCCGCGCGCGGCCCCTCGAAGGGCCAAAAATTTATTCCGCCGCGGCCGATCAGAGATGCTGCAAGCGCTTGTCAGATAATCCCACGACTCCTACGCCGTCACTGCCAGCTGGAAGGGCATCCGAACGCGAAACCGAAGTTGACTATCTTAAACTGGGACTTGAGAAACCTAAACCGACATGCTCTGAGTCTGATCCTCGCAACCCGAGTCTTCTGGATTCGAGCAGCTCGGCGACGAAGCGAATAATCACAGCCAAGATTCCGAACCGAGTGCTCCGATTGGAACCCCAGTTCTTAAGCCCCACACAAATAACAACTGATGGTTTGGCTGTAGAAGCCACCACTTTACCTTTGTTTCTAGACATGATCAGCTGCCTGGCCTCTAGCTTCTCGCAGAGGTCGCCTGTGGCCTGAACGGCCGAGTCCCTGACTGACTTGATGGTTGCGATGGTTTGCAGATTAGTGTCATCGGCGACGTTGAAGAATCTACACAGGAGATGGGCCATAACCGCGGTGTCCAGATCCGCGAGGATGAGCACACGCAGAAGGGTAGTAGCATAGCCGCAACCTGCCAAGAGTCGCATACACCACGGTGGGCCTGGAAACTAGGAGGCCCATGAGGAGCACGCGCGGGCAAGAGTACATCACCAGACAGAGGCGCAAATTGTACAAAAGGGAAATTGTGCAGCCGAGCAGCAGGTAACAACTGAAGCTGCTTCGCCTTCTCGTAAGTTTTAGTAAGGTCAACCAGCACCTTTGCAACACCAGACCGGTTTATGGCCGCGCGCTCTGCTGCAAAAGCTTGTTCCCGAACAGCCCTTTCACATGCGTTGCCCTTCACCACATATAAGAGCCCCCTTTGATCTTCTGTCCCCCGCTTATCTGCAAAACTTCTAATACACCTGCTCCAAAACCGTACCGCCATACTTAGTAGTGCAATCAGCCTATGACCATCGCCGCCTGGCTTCGGCAAGGCAGGCTGCAAAGTGAGAAAGATCTGAAACGGCATAACTCCATCTCGGAGCACCCAACTCCATAACGCATTCAGCGCTTGCAAACACTCATCAGACGGAAAAAAAAAACCACGAGGCTCAAGCCGATCTACTCCATGTGCCGTCCACGCGCTCATCTTTCTCGCTGCAGATCTAATGTCCTCAGGGCTGAAGTCCATGATGGGACTGGGGAGGTCCTTCAACGTTTTTTTCAGTTGCAGAAATACGCCTTCAGAGTTTTCAAGTGGCCTACTTCCAGAGGTTCTGGAACCCCATATGCGTTCCCAATCGTGGAAGTTCTGCTCTATGAGGTCCGAGGGTCCAGGTGGGGCTTGTCCTTGGTGGGGCGCCATAGGGCGCCAACCTACAGGGGGCTTTGTGCACTGGTGTCCACGACCTGCTCCTACCTGCACTGCATCCTGAACAAATCCTCGCCACTGTCTGGCTCGTGAACTGGCGAACAGTGCCTCCAACCTCTTAGCGTAACCTTCAGCACGCTCACGCAAATCATTTAATGATTCGGAATCGCACTAAGCCAGATACCCTGCATCGACATACCACATACTTTTCCACTCATCAGTAGCACGTATCTCTAGTGTGCCGGGAAAGATCTTGGCGAACCAAGCGGCAGCTCCTACAGAGTCCTTTTTTACTGAGTCCTTGGCACGGGTCCTGGAGAGTTCCTGGGCCCAGTTTTGGGTCTCCAGCCCCGTCCTCGTCCAGTATATTTGTGCTGCTCAGTCTCAGGTATCGCATGTACTGCCAAAAGCTCTCTCTCTCTCTCCCTTTGTCTCTCTCTCTCTCTCTCTCTCTATTTCTCTCTCTCTCTCTCTCTCTACCTGTCCATGAACGTACGAAATACAATATTCATGTGCTGTTGCTCTCCTCCTTCCTCAAGCTGGTGAACAACTCCTTCCCGTTCCCCATTCCTCCTCCTCCTTTTCCTCCTCCTCCTCCTCCTCCTCCTCCTCCTCCTCCTCCTCCTCTTCCTCCTCCTCCGCATAATGGACATCTCCCTCCTTCTCCTCCTTCCCCTCCTCCCCCCAGTTCTCTCCTTTTCCAATCGTCGTCCACCAATTTTGGTTCCTCTCATGCTGCGTGTCTGACCAGCCCCGACGCGTGCGCGGTCTCGCCCTGGCGCGCGTGCGGATCGCCCCTGCCGCGCTTCGACGTAAAACTGTATCTGGTTAGCCGCAGCGGGGCTACCCCGCGCGCCGCGCAGCATGAAGAGCGCAGATGGACGGAAAACCCCCCGTCGCGACCGGAGGGATGCGAGAGGAGGGGGGAGGGGGGAGGGGGGAGGAGGAGGAGAAAGAGGAGGAGGAGGAGGAGGAGGAGGAGGAGGGGGAGGAGGAGGTGGAAGAGGTGGAGGAGGCGGGGGAGGAGGAGGCGGGGGAGGAGGAGGAGGAGGAGGAGGAGGAGGAGGAGGAGGAGGAGGAGGCCCAGCGTCGAAAGAACAGCGTGCCTCGCATGGATGCGGAGCAGAGGGGGGGGGGGAGGGAATGGAGCATGAGAAAGAGACGAGGAGGAGGAGGAGGAGGAGAAGGAGGAAGAGGAGGAGGCGGAGGAGGGGAAGGACGAGGAGGAGGAGGAGGAGGAGGAGGAGGAGGAGGAGGGGGGAAGAGGATGGGGGAAGAGGACGGCAAGGGGAAAAAGGAGGATTAGGACGAGGAGGAGGGGGAGGATAATGAATGAGGAGGAAGTGGACGGTGAGGACAAGGCGGTGGGAGCAGATGGGGGAGAAGACGAGCGAGAGGACGAGGGCGACGAAGGCTTTGGGGGGAGACTTGTTACATCAATAATGCACGGCAGCCCTGGGCGACGTGGCCAGCACGAACACCACGAATACCTCGATGACGACCCAAAACACCTTGCGGCAAAATACTGCACCACGCCCACGTCAACGCTATACGCGAATGAATATGTATACATATATATATATGTATATATATATATGTATGTATGTGTATGCATACATATATGTATATATACACCTAAATAAGTATATAAATAAAGGGAGAGAGAGAGACGGGCCCACCTCCAGAACCGCGTAAAAAACATAGCCAGCGAACCACGGCGGGCTCGACGTAGTGGTACCACGAAACCAATACAAAGATGAAGTAGTGCGGTGGGGCATACGACCAACAACAGCGGTCAAAATACCCAAGCCGATCGCCACCGAATACGACCAACGAATACAACTGCACAGCATCACCTTGCGACCGTGGAGATACGTCACCTCCAAACTGGATACGCATACGGGCCCGAACTGGAATCTACCTTGCGGAGATGAGGACACGAAGGTGTAGCATCGCCACAACATGGCATCCCGCCAACTCTAGCGATGAAACGAACGCGCGACAGCCCGTGCCGTCACAACAGCCGCCAGTGCCGCAAGTGGGCCGAGGGGAATCCCATAGGCGTCAAGGCAAAGCCACTGAAGATGAACAGAACGAGCCACATGCCAAGCCGCCAGAGAAGACCAGGATGGACGCGCACGCCCCACGTAGTATACCCCAAAGTTCACCGATGATGAGCATCCCGAAGAATAATCCCAAACACCAGCGCTCAAGTCAGCACACGCAGGGTACAACCCCGGGGCATCGCGACGCAGGCGGCTAGCTCGAACTAACCAACGATGGCATGAGCCGATACGGAACGTGAGCGGTGTAGGTTAGGGGGAGGAGGAGGAGGAGGAGGAGGAGGAGGAGGAGGAGGAGGAGGAGGAGGAGGAAGAGGAAGAGGAAGAGGAGGAGGAGGAGGAAGAGGAAGAGGAGGAGGAGGAGCAGGAGGGGGAGGAGCAGGAGGAGGAGGAGGAGGAGGAGCAGGAGCAGGAGGAGGCCCACTCGTCCGCCTCCTGCCTCCCTGCCCCTGCCAAGAGCCCTGGGCGCGCGCAGGCCCTTCTGGGCCTCCCTGCTCCCCGCGCGCGGTCCAGGACGCGCGCCAGGTCGAACCGCTTGATGCCCAGGATCGCCTGCACCGGGAGCGCGTGCGCCAGGAGGGGGACGGGCGGCCAGGAGCAGGGAGCGGGCGTGGAGAGCAGAAGAAGGCCCCCCCAGGATGAGCACCCCGACATGCGAAGCCGCGTAGCAGTCGCGACGAAGGAAGGAATCGAACGGGGCAAGGCTGCTCAGTAAACGCCCAGGGCCGTGTGGCAAACAACGGTTATGGAGGTCGGGGTGGTGTTTCTTCCTCTCGGAGCTGTGAGGAGCTGCCTGTCACCACAGTGCCACACAGGCCAGCAATGCTCGGACAGTCGCGCCCAATCGGATGCACGCGTGCGCGCGTGGCAACATCACGAATTCGCGCTCGCACTTGTCGAGAGGCATGGTGCACACAGCGCACCGGGTCGAGCCACACACACACAAGCGCAGACAGTATGCTCTAGGGTGGCACCTGGAGGAAGATGAGGAGGGAGCAGGATGGAGGGATGACAAGTGAGATACGATTGAATAGCCGAAAGGGCACCCAGACTGGGAACAACGCGCCTGGTTGGCCCCTGTTCTGCAGAGATCTGTAAGCAGCGTCGGAAGAGAAATCCCAAACGAGGGACCTAGGTAGCCCGCAGCCCAGTCCGAAGCAAAAGTTACGGCTACTCCCAGTGTTTGACTGTACTCCAGGTGGCGTGTAGAAAACAAACGCCGAAAATAATTTATATTACCATCATGCAGGGTGGATACGCAAACAAGAAAGCGACCTCTCAACTGCGAATATCCTCGAAGGTGGCTGGCTGACTTCTCTTGCTGCGGGAGTCCCCCTCGCGCTGCCTCGCCTTGACGTCGATGGCCGACTGCTGTGTCTCGATGATGTCAGCGTACTTGTTAATTCTGGTGGGGCAGAGCCGTCTTTCACTGTCAGATGCGGGGGCTTCCAGAGAAGCGCATACGCGCATATGCAACGCGTTGAACAATGAAGAGATGCTGAGCACCAGACGAACTGGGGAGGCAGAAACCCTGCACGTGGCGCGCCAACTCGTGGCGCGCCCTTGAGACCCTGAGTCCTCCTCCTCCTCCTCCCCCGCCTCCTCCTCCCCCGCCTCCTCCTCCCCCGCCTCCTCCTCCTCCTGAGCCCCCAAATCTGAGCATCTCTTGAATGGCCGACTGTTGCTTCCGCCGCCCTCTGCTGGCCTTCCGCCAGCGGACCCGCCCCCGTTTGTACTCCTCCGCCGCTTTCCGCTTGGTCTCCTAGAGGCAAGACGAACGGCATAGACATAAGCTTCTGGAGCTCCGCGTGGATCTCTTGGACCTGCGCTAAACCACCCCCCTCCCTGGCGCGCGGCACGCGCCAGGGGCGTTGCCGCAGGCGCTGCAAGGGAGCTCCAGCGCAGATCCAAGGAATCCGCGCGGAGCGCGGAAAATCAGGGCGCCGTCTCGTGTACGCGACACGTTCTGGGAACTCTTCGCCCCCTTCGAAATGCATGGGCCAACATGCTTCTAGCCACACGGCTTGAATCCCATGTGTCGCCCTTTCCTATCCTCCGGTCTCCTCCGAATGAGCGGCGTCGGCTTTCCTGGCGAGGGCGATCCCTCTCTAGCGCGCCCAGCGCGGCCGCGCGAGCCGCTCGCCGGCTCCGAGGACAGCGCCGACTGCTGGCCGCCACCGCCGCCACCCGCCCGCCGACCGATCCCTGCCGAAGGGGGCGCGCGAGTCAAAAGTCACATGGGCAACGTCACATGAGCGGGGATCAAAAGCGGGCCTTACGCGAGCTGATGTAGCGACCTTCCGCCGCGGCTTACGCGGGCCGCTGGCGCGGCACGCCACATTGGAGACGAGGGCGCTTTCGCGCGACCTTACGCGGGCAGCTTACGCGCCAATGTCGGCGCACACGACCCCGTTTTCTTACGTCGCTCACATGGTCATCCCATATACGAGACATCAGGGACGAAGCAGGTAGTATGGGATGCAACTGAATCTGGGGTCCGAAAGAAACGTGTATGCTCTTCTCGGGTAGGCCGCGCGGCTGTGCGACGCCAGATAGGGCGTGCGCACCTTGAGCCAACGGCAACAGGAGCGCGCGCTATCTGCTGTCCTAGGACGCTCCCCTGTGAAGTCGAGGACGGGGCAGCCAGCGCTGCACATTGCCCTGTGCTGGCCCTAAGCGCGCAAGAGTACTGCCTCACTGCGTCGGGCAAAACGACCCGAAAGAGTTTGCGCGGGCAATCCCTGGAGGATCCGGGGGCTACCGAAGCCCGAAGAGGAGCGCGCCCAAACGAACCACACTCCCCGAACATCGGGCGAATCGGAGGCCGCTGGGCCTCGAGGCCGGGCGCCGGCGGGCCCACGGACCGCTCCCAGGAGGCCAGCTGAGGTCGCACCCGCGTCGCCGGCGAGAGCGCCCGACACGAGCGCACGCGCGGTGTCGAGCGAGGACCGGCCGCAGGCACTGCACCTGCGTACGCCGAAGCCGACACTCCCCGGGCCTCTCCCCGGGCCGGGGCGCCCTCCGACCAGGACTCCGCAGCGAGCCCGCCCGTCGCGTCGGGAGCCCCCGGGAGGCCGAGCAAGAGGGCGAGACCGGGGGGGGGGAACCGCCTTGCCGCAACGGTTTGACTGCTGGTCCTCTCTGGGGAGCTCGGCGGCGCGCCAGGGGGGGGGGCAAAGCGAGGAGTGGCGGGCCTTCTCAGAAGGATCGGAAGCCCCACGGCCTCCTGAGAAGTGTCCAGAAGCCTTCCCCGAAGACACCGAATGCCTCTCAGAAGGCGCGAGGGCTTCTGAGAAGTCCCGCCGCCTTCTGAGAAGACCTTCTCCTTCCAGCGCATCCTTATTACACGGGCTGGCTGCACTTCCAACGCCTTCCTACTTCATGCGTCTGCCCACTACTTCTGGCCGACAGCTGCTGTCTCGGCCTCCGAAGGCACCCCGTATCGCCCACACACCTGCAATCACGGGAACGGCACCCTGGAGGTCGAGGGCGTGAGGAGGCAGCTCCAGCACCCCCCCTCGGGGCGGAGGAGGAAGGCGAGGAGGGGGGGACCGCCGAGAAACGGCTGCCCGCCTGCGAAGGCACTCCTTCACCTGCTCCTTCTCGGCGTCGTCCACCAAGTCTACCTCTTGGGGGCTTGCCATCGCTCGGACGTCCAGTCTCCGTGCACGTCTCGGTTTTGTGCGTGCTGCCTTCCCAGACCCCGACGTCGTGATTGCTTTGCAACGTCGACCCCCAGAGGTCTGGACCCCTTCCCCAGGACCGGCTTCTCGTCCTGAGCCGTTTTTGACGGTCCCGAGCCCCAGGAAGGGCCCCCAGAGGCCGAAAATGGAGACAAACCTCCCCCCGCGATCTTTTCACAACGCGAGGCGGTCTGCTTTTGTCCGCAGGCTGCTCCAGGATGCTCCTCGATGGCCCTTCGCCGAAAAAACACGAGGCCGTCAAAAACCGACTTACTCAGGATCAGAGACTGGTCCCCGGCAAGGGGTCCGGACCTCTCTGAGGGTCCACGCTGCGCCAAGAAACAGATCGTCGGGAGTCTGGGGAGGGCGGAAGGGGAGTCGGCTGCATGGAAGAGTGAACCCAGGCAAGAAGGACCTTTGGCACGCGGGGTTACAGGGAGGCCGCGGGGGTGCCACAAATCCAAGCGCGCTTGCCAGTGCTGGGGGGGAGCCCACGTGGGCCCGCAAAACAGGGTCACGACGGCGAAGTGTCACTGTTAAGCGCAGCCGAACCCAAACTCGCGACGTCGTGACTTTTGTCATACCGTCGACCTCAAAAGGTATCCATACATTCCCCGGGACCGGGTTTTCATCTTGAGTCGTTCTTTTGACGGTCCCGAGGACCTGGACGGGCCCCCACAAGCGGAAAATCATGAAAGCCCTCCCGTCGTGAATTTGATGACTCGAGGGGGTCTGGGAATCGAGGAGGGCGACGGAGGCGCTGGTATTTCTTCTCCCTCCGTGGAGCCGACCAGGGCGCCAGCCAGCTGAAGCAAAGAAGCGCAACTGAAGGCCACGACAGGGGGAGTGGAATCGACAATACTGCCGCCGTCTCACTTCGTCGGCGGCATGTACGCGGCCGTGTACATGTGGCGCCCCTTCCTGATCGGATTCGACTTGTTGTCCTGACGGTCGATGTAATCACCTGTGCTGCCCAGGTCCAGGAGGAAATAGTTGCTGGCAGCGGGCGAGTCCACGTCGGCGAAGCTGAAAGTCTTGGCGTCTGGATCGTCGCGGCCGTACGGCATCATGCTGAAGCGCCACGAGATCGGCTTCGGGAGTTCCACGGGGTGGCTCGCGTCCACCTCTAAGTAGGAGCACAGCCTGTCGAAGGATCGCACCTGGGTGGCGTCCGCGAGGGCCGTCGCCCACAGCGCCTCGAGGTGCTGCTTGGCGTGCTCGAAGTGGTGCCTGCGGTTAGGTCGGGCAAGTCCTCATACAGGCGGATCTAGGAAGACACAAAACAAAACGGCATACACTGGTCAAATAATACCAACAGTAGAAAACAAGTCGTCCCCTTACGAATTGTTTTTCTATTTTTTCATATTTCTCCTCTAGAGGGGCATGCCCGACTTCGGCCTACGGTCATCAGACTCCTCAGCATCCGACTTGAAGAAGCCCTTCTTCACCAGCTCGTCCCCCGTGGCATACAGCCGCATCTTCTCCAAAAACATGAAGGCCTCTGTCTGGTTCGTCACGTAGGCGACAAAGACGTTGTAGCCGAGCAGGGCCCCGACAACACCCAGCACCTTGTAGCCGAAGCCGGGCAGATTCTGGCTGACGGCCCCGCCAACGGGGGCCCATACTGCGCTGGCGGTGCACGCGAGCGTCGACCAGCAGTCCCCCAGAACCTTCTCCATGGCCGGGCGCCGGGCGCGGAGCCACATGGTGATCGGCGCGTAGTTCCAGTGACCGATGTTGAAATGCTTGTCTGGGATGCTCGGCTGGAAAGTGTACTTGTGGTAATCCTTCTCCTGTGGACGCCCGAAGTGGGTACGCAAAAACTCGGTACGACTCCCAACAGCGAATGTTGCCCCAAACCAACAGCGGCCGCTGTTGGGCAAGCGTCGCTCGGTCTTTAGTGGACAACGACCGCGGCGACGCCGACAGAAAACCTGGTTCAGAATGGACAAAGATCCGATGTTGGTCTTCGCATCCGTTTCCTCATTACCCATTCCCAAACCCCCGATGTCATGATTTTCGACCCCCAGAAACCTCGACCCCCAGAAACCTGGACCCATTCCCCTGGACCGTCTTTTCGTCCTGAGTCGTTTTTGACGGTCCCGAGGCCCGGGGAAGGCTGCCGGAGGCAGAACACAATAACAATACGAAAAACCAACCCGTCGTGCTTTTAAAAGGACGCGAGCACGTCTGCGCTTCCAGCGCACCCGTCTCCGGCAGCGTCCACCGCGGCTTGGCGTCCTCCGCGCCCCCGGCGCGCAGGACCCGGGCCAGGCGGAACCGGAGGGGGCGGGCGGCGCGGAGGACCATGGCGGAGGGAGGGCGCGACGCGGAGGAGGGAGGGGCAACGACGGGCGGGGGCCCGCTCAGGTGGGCGGGAGAAACTAGCTCGCGGTGGAGGGGGGGCCAGCTCGGGGGGGGGGGGACCAGCTCAGGTGGGGGGAGGCCAGCTCGTGGGGGGGGGGGTGGGGAAGGTCGAGCGAGAGTCGGCAACGCCTCGCCGATGGATCGGCGATGGGCCCCCGACGGCGAGGCCGCACGGTCCGGAGCAGGGCGGGGCCGTCGGGCCCCGACATCGGCGATGAGGGGGCGAGCGGGGGTCGATGCCTCCCTCCCGAGCCTGTCCTCGATGAACGAATAATGGCATAGCACGGCCACAGACTCATCATCATCATCATCATCATCATCATCATCATCATCATCATCATCATCATCATCATCATCATCATCATCATCATCATCATCATCACATCATCATCATCATCATCATCACCATCATCATCATCATCACCATCACCATCACCATCACCATCATCATCATCATCATCATCATCATCATCATCATATCATCACCATCCTCATCCTCATCCTCATCCTCAACCTCATCCTCATCCTCATCCTCATCATCAGCATCAGCAGCAGCATCAGCATCATCAATATCAGCATCGTCATCATCATCATCATCATCATCACCATCATCATCATCATCATCATCATCTTCATCATCATCATCATCATCATCATCTCCATCCTCATCCTCATCCTCATCCTCATCATCCTCATCCTAATTCTCATCCTTATTCTCATCCTCCGAATCCTAATCCTCATCCTCATCCTCATCCTCATCCTCATCAGCATCCTCATCATCATCCTCATCCTCATCCTCATCCTCATCCTCATCAGCATCAGCATCAGCATCAGCATCAGCATCTGCACCAGCATCATCATCACATTCATCATATTCATCATCATCACCATCACCATCATCATCATCATCATCATCATCATCATCATCATCATCAACATCCCCCGGAGGGCCCCGGATCGGCGGCACTGGCCGGAGGTCACTACAATAATGACATAAACATGAACTTTCAGAGGTCCGCGCTGATTTCTTGGATCGGCGCTGGACCCCCCCTTTCCTGGCGCGCGGAGCGCACCAGGGGCTCCAGAAATCCGCGCGGACCTCCGAACTTTTGTACAGTCAACCCGCATGTTGTAAGGATGGGCAACCTTCCCAAGGGCACCCTTGGATCGTTGCCTCTTCGGCCCATCCTTAGCGACGCTCGCTGGCCAACCCCGCTCGAAAAACGCTCGCATGCACGGGCCTCCAAGGCCCTTGCATCCTCACCGCGCATCGTTATGGTACGGGTTGACGGTATGTTTACGGCAGGTTCGTGTCGTGCCGACCCCAGCGCTGGTTTTTGACACCGCAGGGATCATTCAACCTTGAACGATCGGCCGCTGCCGCAACGTCCGATCGTTCAACATCGATCGATTCTGGGTCGCCGGCGGCGTTCAACCTTGAACGCCCGCGCTGGGGTCGCCGCTGGTCGACACGACGCAAACCTACCGTACGCCAATACTTGCTCCCCGATGTTCCCCCCCCTGACGTTGCCCGCGAGGAGGAAGTCCCCTCGCCGCTGCCGGACCGGAATGCGCCTCCAGGGGCCGGGGCAGGGAGGCGCCCCCGGCACGCCCCCGGAGCTCGGCCGCGAGCCCGGGGGAAGCTCGAGGCGGGAGCGGCGGCAGGGCCGCCGCGTGCTGTCTCTCGAGGCCCTCCTTTTCAACTGATCCCACAAGCCTCCGCCCGCCGCCCTCCCCTCTCCCCTCCTCCCCTCTCCCCTCCTCCGCTCTACAATTGCTCAATATGAAGACTACTCTCCCTCTTCCCCGGACGACGGGCTGAAAGTGTTCGACCCACCCCCCCCGCGTACTGTTTTTTACACACAGGTTTCCCGGGAGTTGGGTTTTCGCCTGCATTTGTTTTCAAGATGCTGCTCTCGCTGAGGCGCCGGCCTCATTTTCGGGCCCCGCTCGTTCCGAATCGTGCTCCCGCTGCAGCGCTGGCCTCATTTCCGCGCTTCCGCTCGTTTCGACTCGTGCTCCCGCTGCAGCGCTGGCGTCATTTCCCGTGCCATGCCACGGCATGCAATGCAATGCTAGGTTGATGCTACGCTTTGCGGTGCTCTTCTACGCCATGCCATGCCGTGCTCTACAATGCATCGCGTACCCTTTCGGGATCATTGCCCTGCTCGACATCCGACTGGGCGAGTAGAGAGGGGATCTGCGCCATGGTAAGGGATGGGAGGGAGGGGTAGGATGTCAGATATGACGCGAGCGCACCTAGCTTGCCCCTCCCCTCTCCCCTCCTCCCATCTCCCCTCCTCCCCTCTCCCCTCCTCCCCGCGGCCCCCCCCCCCGTGCCTCGGCCTGCCTCCACCCCCTCCTGCCTCCTGCCTCCCCCTGCGGCCCCAGCGCTCGGCCAGATCGCTTCGGGGCGAGTGGTCACCGGGGCCAGGCGGGTGAGGCTGGTCCGGGCCCGCCGCAGGGGTCTGTGCGCCAAGCGGAGCGAGCCTCGGGCCGTCTTCGGGCCCTGGCTGGGCCAGCACCGCCTGCGGGAGGAGCGGCAGCAGCAGCAGCAGCAGCAGCAGCAGCAGCAGCAGGCAGCAGCAGCAGCAGCAGGCAGCAGGCAGCAGAGGGGGGGGGGGGGGGGCAAAAAGCAAGCGCAGCGGCCACACAGAGGCGCAGCGTTGTTGCACGAACGAGCCGACCCCGCAGGGGGTGCAGGGCCAGCCCACGTACGTCTGCGCAGGACAGCGGCCCAGAGCGATCCGTCGCAGCCGTCGCCAACGACATCCGCTGAGTCCGCCGCCGTCTCCTCCCCCTCCCCCCTGCCATGGCGACGAGCGCCATGGCAGGGCGCCCTCTCTCCTCCAGCTTCGAGGCGCGCCTCGCCGCTTCTCTCCTTTCGGCTACCGCCTGGGGCGAGGAAGGGCAGCACTGCCAACCGACCACGGGCAGTCTTCCCAGGGCGTCGTCCGCCGCTACCTCTCTCTCTCTCTCTCTCTCCCGCCTCTTCCGAAACACCCCTCCTCCGCCGCCATCTGCCCTTTCCCCCTGTTCTCCCCTCCTGTTCCTCCTCCCCCCCCCCAAGAGACGAAGGCAGGGAAAGATAACATCGGGATGGAATACAGCAATAATGTCTGCGAAGTGGCGGGCCTGCAGGATGCATCGGGCGCCTCGGCCGATCGAAAACGTTCCAGGACGCTCTGGAAAGACTTGTCTTCGTCCGCAGGCCTGCCTGACCCCCTCCTCGCCCATTCGATACTTCAATCCCAGCCCCCTTTTCTTTCAAAACCTGAGCCGCCATCAAAGATCTTGACCCATTTCCTGAGACTAACTTTTCATCCTGAGCCGTTTTCGGTTCTCCTGGGACCAAGAAACGGCCTCCTGACACCGAAAAGGTGTTTATCGTCGTCGTAGGCCTGCGTGACCCCCTAACACCCACCATGGAGATTTTCCCACAGCGTGAACCTCTGAAGTGTGAACCTCTGAAGTCTGAACCTCTGAAGTCTGAAGTCTGAAATCTGAAATCTGAAGTCATCGCATCGCATCGCCAGCGGCACGGAAGCTGTCTGAACTATCACGGGGCGCCTTCACACCTCGTGGCAAGCCTCTGGACGCCTGCTGCTGAACACGGTGGCCGAAAAAGTTGGTCTCATCATGATGGAATCCATGAGTTGACGCTCTGGCCGAGGGGCTCTGCAGCAACACTCAGGATGCCGCGTGGCCGGCGCCCTCGTCCCCGGAACGACTCGCGGCGCTGGTCTTTCCTACCGAGTCGTGTTTTTTGATGGTCCCGGTGGCCCTGCATGTGCTCTGGAGGCCGTGCACGGTCCAAAGCCTTCCGCCCGTGATGCTGTTCACGGCGCGAGGGGGACCTGGGGCACTCGAGTCGCCAGAAGCTCGCTCCTCGCCGATCCTCTTCGCACGGACGGCCAGCGCCCCTCTAACGGGGACTCCACTGACAGGCGCTTTGGCCAGTGACCCAGCGAACCCAACCCTCCCCGATGTGGGCAACGCTGCAATGCCAGAAGGGGTCCCCAAAATGGCAACTTTCGGCAACTTTCCAAAGTATCCGTTAACGAGTACCCGTTGCGGTGCCGCTGAGGACAGGGCGGGTCCCGCGCCCCCAGCGCAGGGGCCTTGTTGAGAAGGATCCTGTCCGCGAAGGCCACCTTCGGCTGCACGCAAGAATGACCCTGGATAAGAGTGTGACCTTTGGTGCGCGGCTTATTCGGGGGCCGCGGGGTGACCAGACACAAGCGCGCAAGACGCTACTATCGCATCACAATCGGCCATCGGGGGACCCCGCTGAGCCCGCACCAAAAGGCCACTCCAGCGAAGGGTCACTCTGACGCCTAGTCGGCACCTGCTCCAGAGCCTCGTTCTCTACGCCCTCCGGGCGCTGCTCGCTGATCCTCGGCAAAGCTGTCGGGCTGCCCCCCCCCCCGCCCTGCACACCCCCCGTGGACAAGACAGACATCTCGTTTCGACATCTTGCCCCCCCTCCCCCCTCGCCGGGCTCGCGATCTCAAGGTGAAGGAGGCTGCGGTCGACGGTAACTAGAGCAAGACACTCGTATCGTGCAGCGCCCCTGCGTGCGAAAAGTGGCATTCAGAGGGGTGCGGGGGAACGGACCACGCGCGAGAGTTGCACTCCAAGACGTGCGATGTCGTGACTCCTTCAATACGGGGCCCTCGAAGTACCGACCCTCTCCCCAGGGCCAGACTTTCATCCCTCGTCGCCTGTTGCCACGACCCAAACATGTCTGGGCTACTTTCTGGCGGCCCGCATCTCCAGCACCCACGCGACCGACTGCATGCTCTGAGCGGCTCCCGCCCTGTCGCCGTTTTCGTCTCTCCCTGCCTCCTTATCCTGTGCCGCACTCTGTCAGCAGCGTGCCCTGCCTGTCGTCAGCCCGACCGGCGCCTGACCGCATTATGCCGCATTATTGTGAGCGTTTGCTTCTTCGGCGTTTCGACACTGGGCGGAAGGGTGGGGGGAGGGGGGGGGTCTGGCCCCGGACCTCTGCTTGGATAATGCCACTGTTTGCAACAACAGTGCGTCCTGAGGGGAGACCCCACCTGCTGAAAGCAGGCGCCAAAAACAGCCAGCCCCTATTTGTTTCTGCACCCCTCCTCGCAGCGATTCGGGATGCAACCTGTCTCGCGACGCTCTGTCAGTTCGGTGGACGGCCCTCGCAATCCAGAATAAGGTAGCGGAGCTGTGGCGATCCACAACCACGAAGTGGCAAGACTCATTCAGGGGGGCTGGTTGGCGGCTTCGGGGGCACTCTTGAAGCCATCTGGGGCTGTTGTCGGGCAGTGTTAGAAGCCTCCTGAACAGGACAGGAAAAGGCCGCGCCCAGACGGCGCATCGGCAGATGATTCGGCAGCCCGTAATGTACATGTGCGGTGGCGTGCAAGAGTATGCATGTGAACAGCTGCGCAGTGCCTCGGAGAGGGCGTTGTACCAACGACGGCGAGGGACACCTGCGCGGCTTTCTAGAGGAGGCGGATGGAGGGAGGGAGGGAGGGATCTGCCTCGAGGCCAGGGTCGAGCCTCAGAACACAGATGGACTGGCCGCGCACGCACAGTACTTCACTCACGGAGATGGTGCGTTGCGGTCGCGCAACGCTCATGCATCAAGCAAGAATACATGAGCAGCGCTGCAACTGAAGCAGGGAGTGTCGCAATGTATGATGAGTCCTGAGGTCATTCATCTCCTCCTCTTGATCCACTCATCCAATCGTCCCCCAGCCTCTACAGGAGGCCCGCTCTTTCAAAACGGAGCTCAGACCCAGGGACTAACCTAGAACCGGTAGCGAAACCGCCTGACGAGGAGCAAAAGAGAACTGGGACATCTGAACAACCTCCGCTCCTCGTTCTCCTTTTCCTCCTGCTTCCGTTCCCCTCGGGCATCATCAATCCCACCTCGAGGCATGTGCTCCGAAAGAGCGCACCGCCACGGATTTACGCCGGATTTACGTCGGACTGACTCCGGAGCATCGCCGCGCGAGCGGCGACCCATAGCTCACATAACTGACGTGTGAACTACTAGATCGTACTACTATCACGCGCCGCGCGAGGCCTCCAGGATTTTCCACATAATCTTCTCGTATCCAACCGTGTCTGGACCATTTCAGGCATGCAAAGCTTGACGACCCATTTGGCATCTTTGCCACTTCCAAGAGGTCTTCCGTGACAGACGTCTCCTGCCGCTGAGCAACTTGTGTCCTACAGAGGGTCATTGGTTCGTCTTGCGTTGAAAAAAATGGACGCCCCAGCGCCCGACAAGGTGCCCGTGGAGGCCCAGGTGAAAGAAAAACGCCCGGATGGGAACAATCACACTGCGCGCGAGCACAAGCTCTCGACTAGAGGAAGAAACAAACGCCATAAACATAAACTCTCTGCGCTCCGCGAGGATGTCTTGGATCTGCGCTGGACCCCCCTCCCTGGCGCGCGGAGCACGCCAGGGCCCAGAAGTCCGCGCGCGTGCAAGAAATTCGCGCGGAGCGCCGAAAGTTTCTGTTGATGGCGCTTGTTTCTTCCTCTAGTCGAGAGCTTGTGCTCGCGAGCAGTGTGATTGTTCTCATCCTGGCGTTTTTCTTGCACCTGGGTCTTCACGGGCGCGTTGTCGGGCGCTGGGGCCACCATCTATTTCTTCGGCGCAAGATGAACCAATGACTCTCTGTACGACAAAACCGGCTACACGCAGGAGTGACCCTGGGCAAGAATGACCTTTGGTGCGCGGCTTCTGGGGGGACGCGGGGTTACCAAAGTCCGGGGCGCAGGCCGCTGCTGCCGCTTCGCGTTGATCGGGGGACCCGATTGGGCCCGCACCAAAGGTCACTCCGGCGAAAGGTCACTCTTACTGAAGGAGCGCTGGGACACACAAACAAATAGACACAATTAACAGGATTCCCCATACTTCCCAATATTTTCGGGTTTTTTGTCTTCCCCCTCCACTTCCCATATTTTACCCTTATTTCTGGGGGGTCGACGATTAATTGTGTCTGTGGGTGTTTTCCCCCCCTGACTTACGTCTCGTCGACAAAAGCGTTGTGTCTTCTTCGCTCAACGCCAGCGCTGTTCGCAGGGGCGCCGACCGGGGAGAGCGCGGAGGCTGCTCTGCAGGCCCCTCCAGGAGGGGCGCGCTCGCGGGGGCCAGGAGCGGTGCGCCTCTCGTGCGTGATTGCAGCTGGCCGAGATGTCGGCCACAACCCGCCTCCTCTTTCTCCTCTTCCTCCTCCACCTCTTCCCCCTCCTACTCCTCCTCAGCTCCTCCTCCTCCTGCCTCCTCCTCCTCTCCTCCTCCCCTCCTCCCCTCCTCCTCCTCATCATCATCATCATCATCTCCTCCTCCTCCCCCCCCTCCCCCCTCCTCCTCCTCCTCCACCTCCTCCCCTCTCCTCCTCCTCCTGCCTCTTCCCTCATCCCCTCCTCCTCCTCCTCCTCCTCCTCCTCCTCTCCTCCTGCCCCCTCCTCCTCCTCCTCCTCCTCCTCCTCCTCCTCCTCCTTCTCCTCCTCCTCTTCCTCCTCCTCCTCCTCCTCCTCCTCCTCCTCCTCTCCTCCTCCTCCTCCTCCTCCTCCTCCTCCTCCTCCTCCTCCTCCTCGATGGTAGTGATGGTGGTGGGAAATCGGCCCATCATCCTTGTGTGATTTCAACCGACCGAGATTTCAGACAACGGCCAAATATGGGCGACAAAGGGGAAAGGGTCTTACGCTACGTACAGTGCGGGCGCAGTCGCAGGAAACCCTCGCAAGAGACCCAGTCTCAAAAGCCCGCGCGCGAGGTGCATCCGAGGGGAAACCCTGAGCACCCTAAACGCCGCAGCTCCTCTTGACGGCCGCGGGATATCACCGCGCAGCGCGCGGAACGATCAGACCCAGGGTACCCTGGCGAAGAGCACTCGGTCTCTTGATGCGCGCCACCACTGTGGCGACCTTACGCGGTGGCTGCGCGTGCCGCCAGCGCGGCACGCCACTCTGGAGACGAGGGCGCTTGCGCGCGACCTTGCAAGGGCAGCTTGCGCGCGAATGTCGGCGCAATCGAGCCCGCTTTTTGCCGTCGCTCAGACATCGTGGCAGAACAGGGACGCCCCCAAAACAGCCCCCAAGAGACCCCGAGAGGCCCCCAAATTGGGACCCCAACGGGGCCTCCAGGAGGCCCGACAACGGCCTCCAAGGAGCCCCCGGGAGACCTCCCGCGACATCTCGGCCCGGCAACCCGGGCACGGCGGCGGGAGACGGGCCCACTCGGCATCGACGCGCCCACTCGGCCGCCAGGCGGAACCGCCCCGAGCGGGCCCACGGGCTCGCAGGCTGGGCGCTCGCAATGCCCCGTCCGCCCGCCTGGGCCGTCGGGCGCGGCCGGGGGGCTTCCCAGGAGCAACCAGCTTCGAGCTCATCCCCGCCCATGAGATTGGCAAAACCAGGGCGATTACAATCTCGGGGATGCGCTCGGATGCTGATGGAATCCTTGCCAAGCCGGAGCGACCATCTCAAAGCAATTTCAGATGAAGTCGAAATTTGAATATTGTCCACCCAAAACGCTGGTTCACCCATCTCCTGGGCGTGCCGCATGCGACGACGAACGGATCGATGAAATGTGCAAGGGAAGCGGCCAGACAAAAACAAAGGGCCATGGGAGGAATCTATCATGGTACGCCCTGAGTGGCGGTAGCAATCATTCGTTTCTCTCCCGACTTACACTGCGAGCTTGCGCTGTGAGCTGGACTGGGCTTGCACTGTGAGCTGTGTGTGGTGTGTGTGTGGTGTGTGTGCATGTGTGTGTCGCTGTCTCTGTCTCTGTCTGTATCTGTGTGTGTGTGTGTCTGTATCTGTGTCTGTGTCCGTGTGTGTGTTTGTGCGTTTTGCCCCTTCCCCTTGCGTGTAGGTTTTACGCATCCCCCATCTCCATCGCGAGAAGGAAATGCCAATCGGGATCATGTTCCATGCAGGTAGATGAAGGACCCACCCGGGCGGCCGACGGGAGCATTGGTTTTTCCATGCGGAGTACCCGGAAGTCCCGACCACTTCCCTAGAACCGCTCGCGTCGCTTCCCCATCCTCCTCCTCCTCCTCCTCCTCCTACTCCGCCTCCTCCTCATCTCCCCCAAGCACGACGGGAGGTTTGTCGCTTTCTTCCTCATTCTCTTCCTCCCGATTCCTGCCGCGGCGTTGTCATTGTAGCAGCTGTCGAATGGCGGGACTGGACAAATTCGTTGAGTACGGCTTTCGAGTTGCGTGGCTTGGTATGGGATTACATATTGCGCTCGAAAGATACCCATAGGTTCTGAAGCGCCTGCCTGCCTTTCCACGCCTCATTCAATATACAGCAAGTTTACCAACCATGTTCATCCGTGTGGTGGTACTCGTCGTTTTCGGTTCGGAGCAACCCATGGTCAATTGGTTTCATCACTGTTATCCTGCTGCTCGATGTGTCTGGTACTTTTTGGTCTTTCAAGTTGATGCTCACGGGCGGAAGTATTTCAATCTTGTTTCATGCTCTAGAAACTCATCACGCGCACGGAGAAGTGCCGAAGAACATGAAGTGGGTCCAAAAGGTGAAGAGCTTTCCCTAAGTCTTAAAGTGGTGGCTTCCAGTTTGCACTGTGCTGCTTGCAAGATGCTCTGCTTGGGCCGTGGTATATCAAATTCGGCATGTTCTAGGAGGTTGTGTTCGCCAGACATCGTATTTCGTGGAGTTCAGTTCCCGGTGCCTGCACATGCTCATCCATTCAGGTCGGACATGTCCCCCTACAGGCGGATTCGGGACGACAGAAATAATCAATACATACTCCAAATAATCAAACAATCATCAACAAATCGTCCCCAGACAATGCTTGCTTTGTTTGAATTTTCCTCCTATAGAGGGACACGCCCGACGTAATCATCCATGTCATACCGTTGCTCCGCGAGCTCATGGCACGCGTGTGGTAGTATCACACACAAGATGTTAGTACGCGACGGCTGTACTTCTTTGAGCTCCTCCTCCTCCTCCTCCATCGTCAATGGCTGCACGGTGGAGTCCCCTTCCCTTCACTTGGGACGCTGGCAACTTTCAGGCGACAGCCCCTTGTGGGGCGTTTCGCGAGCCAATCGTGTTGCTCATTTGTACCGGTATGTTCGGCTTCCGGGGCCCGTGCCGGGGCTCGGGACCGTCAAAAAGGGCTCAAAATGAAAAGCCTGCCCTGGGGGCAAAGGGTCGGCACTTCCAAGACCCCAAAGATCCGATGTCGTGATTTTTTCCATACGGGATCCCCGAAGTCTCGGCCCATTTCCCAGGACCGGTTTGTCATCCTGAGTCGTTTTTTGACGGTCCCGAGGCCCGAAATTAGCGAAAAACCTCCGTCTTCATTTTTTCAATAGGTTGGATTTCTGGGACCCCGCATGGACATTCTCCAAACATCGCAGGTCTGGGCCCGGAAGCCCCGGCCCTTGCCCCGGCGCCGGCCTGTCAGCTCGAGCCGTTCTAAGGACAGTCCCAGGGCCCGGCCAAGGCCTTTGGAGGCCGAACACAGCCAAAAGCCTTCTGTCAGGTCGGGCATGTCCTCCTACAGACGGATTCGGACGAAAAAGACACTATTCAAAAATTATTCTGGCGAAAGACCCAACCATATGCTTTTGTAGGCACTTCAATTGTGAATATCTTCTGTGAAGCTCCCTATGGGGCAACGAAGCGCTGCACTGGGTGGGGGGGAACGCATGCGGGCGGTAGCACTGGAGCCGTCGGTGGAGCTCCCTATGGGGCCACGAAGCGCTGTACTGGGTAGGTGCAAATGCCAAATTTGGTATGCGAGACGCATGCGGGCGGTCCCACCAGCGGCTTGGAGCTCCCTATTGGTCCACGAAGCGTATGAGCGTTGTGCCAAATTTGGTTTCCGGGACGCATGCGGGCGGTCCCACTGGGGGCTTCGGTGGAGCTCCCTCTGGGGCCACGAAACGATGTACGAGGTGGATGAAAATGCCACATCGGGCTGCCGGGACGCATGCAGACATTCCCTCTGGGGTCTTCGGTGGAGCTCCCTATGGGGCCACGAAACGTTGTACTGGGTATGTGAAAATGCCAAATTGAGCTTCCGGGACGTATGCGAGCGTTCCCACTGGGTCTTCGGTGGACCTCCCTATGGGGCCACGAAGCATTGTATTGCGTGGGTGGAAAATGTTAAATTGGGTTTCTGGGGCGAATGCGGGCGGTCCCACTGGGGGCTTCGGTAGAGCTCCCTGTGGTGCCACGAATCGCTGTACTGGGTGGGTGAAAATGCCACACTGGGCTTCCGGGTCGCATGCGGGCGGTCCCACTGGGGGCTTTAGTGGAGCTCCCTATGGGGCCACGAAGCGCTGTACTGGGTGGGTGAAAATGACACACTGGGCTTCCGGGTCGCATGCGGGCGGTCCCACTGGGGGCTTTAGTGGAGCTCCCTATGGGGCCACGAAGCGCTGTACTGGGTGGGTGAAACGCAAGGAGGATAGGGGAGGGGGAGGAAGGAGGGAGGAGGGAGGAGAGACGCGGGGACCGTCTCTCCAAAACGAGGACCCAACACCAGAGGATGATTGGGAAACAAATTATCAAGACTTATAAAGAAATCGTCCCCAGACTATTTTGACTATTTTTGAATATTCCTCCTGTAGAGAGACATGCCCGACTTCAGCCTTCTGTCGTGCTTCTGTTCACGAGGCGAGTATGTCTTAGAAGTGGGCTGGGGGGAGACGCGCTCTGGGGGGTCGCCCGATGCCGCCGCCGTGGAGGGAGGGAGGCCTGGCGAAACCCCTCCTGTTGGCACCTCGCAGGGCCCTCTCCGACTATGATCGTATACGCACCGGCGACGGTCCTTTGCCGACTGCTGCGCCTGCACCTGATACCTCCTCCTCGCCCACTCCTCCTCCTCCTCCTCCTCCTCCTCCTCCTCCTCCTCCTCCTTCTCCTCCTCCTCCTCCTGCTCCTCGGTCAGCTCCTCCTCCTTCTCATCCTCGGTCTCCTCCTCATCGTCATCCTCAGTCTTCTACTCTTGAAGCGCTCATCCTCCTCCTCCACCTCCTCCTCCTCCTCCTCCTCCTCCTCCTCCTCCTCCTCCTCCCCCCCGAGGGCGTTTGCCCCTGAGGGGGGTGGGGTGATCAAACTAGAGTGCCAGGCGGCCGCATCGCTGTGGCGAATGCGGTGGGACGCAACGCAGTAGGAGAAGAGGAAGAGGAGGCACGCGTCCTCCTCCTCCTCCTCCTCCTCCTCCTCCTCCCTCCTCCTCCTCCTCCTCCTCCCCTCCCCCTCCCCCTCCCCTTCCTCCTCCTCCTCCCCCCCTCCCCTCCCCCCCTCCCCCTCCTCCTGCTCCTGCTCCTCCTCCTCCTCCTCCTCCCCCTCCTCCTCCTCCTCCTCCTCCTCCTCCTCATCATCATCATCATCATCATCAGTCTCCTCCTCGCCTCTCCTCGGCATGATGTGCTTAGCGTCCACGACGGTGACGATCGCGTCCAGCTCCTCGGGCCGCCGCGCCCCCCCCCCTTGAGCGAGGGACGAGGGCCCGAGCCCGCAGGGCAGGTCGCGGGAGGAGTCGGGGTCGCAGGCCAGAGGGCGAGGATCCGTCCGAGGCAGGTATACGGCCCTCGTGCTGCCACGAGGGAACGGCGGGGCGTTTCTGGCAACGGCGGACCCAGGCCACAGACAGGCTCACGACGTATCGGCTGAGGAACGGCCCCGACAGCCCGAGCGCTCCCTGAATCCCAGGCGATCCTTGCCTCGGCATCTCGACTGTGCTTCCAGGACCACCCCCTGGACTACCCGGCAGGCGGTAGGTGTGGGCGGACCTCATGGCGCGCCCCGGGTCCTCTCTCTCTCTCTCTCTCTCTCTCTCTCTCTCTCTCTATATATATGTGCCCACCGCCCGCTGGGGCTCCAGGACGTAGGTCCCCCTGGCGGTGGATGTGGATACAGCCAGCCCGTAACATGAGGACGCGCCATACGGACGCAAGGGCCTGGTGAGCGTTTTTTTTGTTTATCCGGCGTTTCGACATTGTGCGGAACGGGGGGCGGTCTGGCTCTGGACCACTGCTCAGTGCGACTGTTTGGAACCGACCGGGCGTCCTGTGGGGCAGACTCCACCTGCTCGAAGCAGTCGCCAAAAACAGCCAAGATCTACTCCACGGGGCGGGGGGGAGGGTGAGGGTGCGAGGGCCTGCGCCGATCGGCAAAACAATGAACAAAAAACGATCACCTTGGAAGGCCATTTCGAGGCTATTCGAGCGAGGCGCGGCCAGCGAAAGTGGCCAAGGATGGGCCGAGGAGGGAATGGTGCAAGGGTACCCTTGGGAAGGCTGCCCATCCATATTGTGCGGGTTGACTGCGTACCCCCGCCGTACGAAACGGACTACCGAATTGAAAGTTACCCCGGAATTCTGTTTGTCGTCGAGTCTACCACCAATCCTGTAGCACATTATGTATGTTCGTAGATTAGACAAACATTATATTGTGGGGCGAATTGATTATGTAGTCGATCTCCTACTCGAAGGGTCCGAGCCTCTTTGCTGGCTCTTGCGAATCGACGCTGGCCGTACTCGACTCGACTCGACGCTAAATCGACGCTAAGTCGGCGCTTTTTCCTCGACCACTAGGCGCTGGGGTCAGCTAGCGCACCCTGCAGACTGAATCCCAAGGGGATAGAAGGCTCCCAGGATTCGCAGCACGGTCGAGACCCCTCGGCTCGCGAGAAAACCACGACGAGATGTTTTTTTCGGCGGTGGACAAACCTCCCTGTAATTCGCCACCTCCACGGCGCCCAAGATGGCCTCCAGACGGCCCAAGACGTCTGCAAGATGACCCAACAATCCTCCAAGATGCCCCAAGAGACCTCCAGGAGCACTCCCAAGAGGGCCCCAAGAGGCAAACATCAATGCTTTTCTTAGGTTTTGGACAGATTTGGGCGTTTTAACCTTTTCGGTTCCCCGACGCCCCTAAACGGCTCAAGAGGCCTCCAAGATCGCCCCAAGAGGGCCCAAGAGGCCTTCAAAAGGGCCCCAAGACTGCCCAAGACGGCTCCAAGACGGCCCCAGAGGCCTCCAATACGGCCCAAGAGGGCCCCAAGAACGCCCCAAACACGGTCCAAGAGAGGTCCGAGACGCCCGAAGATCGCTCCACGACGCCCAAGATGGCCTCCGGACGGCCCAAGACGCCTCCAAGATGGCCCAAGAAGCCTCCAAGATGCCCCAAGACGCCTCCAAGAGAACTCCCAAGAGGGCCCCAAGAGGCAAAAACCTGTGCTTTTCCTTTGGTGTTGGACAGATTTGGGCGTTTTAACCTTTTCGGTTCCCCGACGCCCCTAAACGGCTCAAGAGGCCTCCAAGATCGCCCCAAGAGGGCCCAAGAGGCCCCCAAGAGGACCCCAAGACGGCCCAAGACGGCTCCAAGACGGCCCCAGAGGCCTCCAGGACGGCCCAAGAGGGCCCCAAGAATGCCCCCAACACTACACAGCTCCCGACGCCGCAGCTCCACACTGCAAACGACCACTCGGACAGGCGACCACGGTGCGACATTATGGGCCGGCGGAATGAGCGAAGCGATTAAATAAACCACCCTTTAATGAAAACGGCCTAGGGCCGAAACCGACGGACCTGGACCCGCACTCGCGAACCGAAATCGGCCAATTCGCACATCGACGTGTCAGGATAGGAGGTTGATCAACCTCCGAGTTTTAGCTTGGCCCCTGGGGCCTCTGGCGGCCCTGACGGGCCCCTGGGCCGCCAACGGCAACTACCCAGGATGCAGAACAATTTTCGTCGCTGCAAGAACAAAGAGTAGGACGCCACCTAAAGGGTCTGGAGTACATAGACAGGGGTGGGAAGGGGGAGCCATAAGTACGTTCGACGCAAAGATTTTCTCACGTGGACCGCAGAGGTCTGGAGACTCCTTCGTGGAGCCACTTTTTCGTCTCGTGGCCTTCCGAGATGGCCCCAAGGCCGCGCAAGATTTTTTTTGAGCTCCACGATCTGTCCGCCACGTTTAGCGAGGCACCCTACGGCGGGGGGAGGACCGGAACGAGGGGAAGGCAGAGGGGGGCCCGGATGCCGCCCGACGCCTCCGGGACGCCCCGGCAGGATCCGGGGCGGAAGAGCAGCACTTCTCATCACCCCCGTGCGCCAGCACAGCTCTGTGGCGCTCGCTTCACCAGCGCGCTTGCATGCAGCAGCGGCCTGCGCGGCCTCTCCGGGCCTCTCCGGCCCCAGGCCCTGCCCCCCGCGCGCGCCGCTTCCCCGCCCCTGCCGCCCTCTGCCGTCGACGGCCCAGCCCCCTGTCGGGGGCCCAGCCGCGGTGGGAGATGAGGAGCGGAGCGGACCACCTGTGCGAGGGGGAAAGCCTACTCAGGCGAGCGCGGCCTATGCTCAGCATAAGCTCTCGCGCAGAGTTGTGGCCCACTCCGCGCGCAACAGCGGAGGAGAGATGAGGCGCAATGGCTGGAAAAGCGGCAAGAGCCGTCTCTTTCTCCACACCGCCACCCCCCTGCTCCCTGCTCGTCGTCCTCCTCCTTCCGCCACGCCTCCTGGATATCCGCCCCATGCCCATCCTCCATCTGCCCGCTCGGGCACGGGCCGCGCATGCGGCCGCAGCGCTGGCGGCCATGGCTCTGCTAGGCCCCGCTCGTAGGCCGCCTTGACGTCCTCGTCGACGAAGAATGTCTGTGCCACGGGCGCGGGGTCGGCCATGCCTGGGGCGGCTGGAGAGGCCCGACGGCAATGCGCCGCTGCAAAGGGGCGAGGGAAGGGACAACGGAAGGAACGGGAGGAAGCGAGAGAGGAAGAGAAAGGGAGAGAAAGGGAGAAAGGAGAACTGAGAAAAAGGGAGAGAGGAAAGGAAAGACCAGGGATGTGGTCAGGGCCAGGGAGGCCCGACATCAGTGCGCTGCTGCAGAGGGGCCGAGGGAAGGGACAATGGAAGGGAGGAGTGGCGGAGAGAGAGAGAGAGAGAGACAGCAGGAAAAAGCATAGCAATTAAAAAGAGGAGCAAGAAGAGTGAAGATACGAGGCGAGGATATATCTATATCCACCGCCTGGGGAACCTACGTCCGGCCACCAGCGGGCGGTGGATATGGATATTGTTTTGCCCCAGGGCCCCAGAATCGGAGGTGAGGGGGTGAGATCGAAGTGGAACGGAGAGCCCCCCTATCGGGAAATCGATTTCGGTTTCGTGTTCGTGCGTGCCGTGCGCGCGGGCGAGGCGAAGTGCGTGGGCGGGCGAGAGGAAAGCCTCCTGTGGCTGAGGCGCGGCCGGACCAAATGCGTCTCTTCCTCGCGGCCGGTGGCGCGCGGTGTCCCGCCAGTGTCCCGCTGGTGTCCCGTCGGTGTCCCTGTGGCTGAGGCGCGGCCGGGCCCAATGTGTCTCTTCCGGGCGGCCGGTGGCGCGCGGTGTCCCGCCGGTGTCCCGCTGGTGTCCCGTCGGTGTCCCTGTGGCTGAGGCGCGGCCGGACCAAATGTGTCTCTTCCGGGCGGCCGGTGGCGCGCGGTGTCCCGCCGGTGTCCCCGTCGGTGTCCCGTCGGTGTCCCGATGATGATGATGGATGATGATGATGATGATGATGATGATGATGATGATGATGATGATGATGATGATGATGATGATGGTGATGATGGCGATGATGATGATGATGATGATGATGATGATGATGATGATGATGATGATGATGATGTTGGTGTTGTTGTTGTTGATGATGATGATGACGTCGATTGTGTGATCGATTGTGACATCGATAGTGAGACCGACTGTGAGATCGATTGTGAGATCGATAGTGAGATCGATTGTGAGATCGATAGTCAGATCGATTGTGAGATGATGATGGTAATGATGATTATGATGATGATGGTGCCGAGCGAAAACTGCCGAGCGAATCGATGATGAGATCGATTGCGTGATCGATAGTGAGACCGAATGTAAAACCGAATGTGAGATCGACTGTGAGGTCGACTGTGAGATCGATAGTGAGATCGATAGTGAGACCGAATGTGAGACCGAATGTGAGATCGACTGTGAGATCGATTGTGAGATCGATAGTGAGATCGACAGTGAGACCAAATGTGAGACCGAATGTGAGATCGATTGTGAGATCGACTGTGAGATCGATAGTGACATCGAGAGCGAGATCGAATGTGATATCGATAGTGAAATCGAATGTGAGATCGATTGTGAGATCGATAGCGAGATCGATTGAGTGCGACGTTGGTTCCCCCTCCATCCTCACCTCCTTATCACCCGCAGGGTGGTCGTATATGTATGATATCCATATCCACTGCCTGCCAGGGTACCCGAAGATCGATCCCCCAGGCGGTGGTTATGGATCAACCTCCGCCTCGGAACATATAGAGAAAGAGCAAGCGAACGATAACAAAAAAGAGTTGGCAGGCAGGGATTGTGCCCACCATTCTAGCCATAGGCCGTGCCTCCACGGTAAGGTTCGGAAGGTCAGGGAAAATCAGGGGCAAGGGGGAGGAGGGAGGATGGAGGCGGGATGATAAGGACATATGTTAAAAAGGGATCATGGGAGAAGAAGCCAGAAAAAGGAGGATGGAGAGAGGGAGTGGCAGCAGCAAGCGAAACAAGAGGGCTCCAGGAGGAGAGAGAAGCAGCAGGATTAGCGGCAGAAGGATCGGGGGGATCTGGAGGAGGAGCAGCAGGAGGCAGAGCAGGAGGAGAACAAAGAGGCTCTGGAGGAGAAGCGGAGGGAGGAGGGGGGAAAAGGACGAGAAGAAGCCAGAGGGCGGCGGCAGAGAGACGGGACGAGACGCACGAGGAGGAGACAGGAGAGAGGCGCGGGAGACGGGAAGACAGGTGCCAGGAGGAGGCAGGGGGAGAGAGGCTCCTCCTCCTCCTCCTCCTCCTCCTCCTCCTCCTCCTCCTCCTCCCTCCTCCTCCTCCTCCTCCCTCCCTCCTCCTCCTCCTACCCTCCCCCCGGGGGGGGCCGGGGAGGAGGGGGGGGGGGGGGGGGGGAACGGCATGGAAGCGGCGGGGCGACGCCCCCAGCCCACCCCACCCTCTCGGGCTCTCGGGCGTCCACGGACCCAGGGCAGTGCCAACCAGGGTCAGTCTGGCTCTCTGCACTCTCCTGCAAGACCCCGCCCCTGCAACACAACGACCATTCCTTTTCCTCCTCCTCCTCCTCATCCTCCTCCTCCTTCTCTTCCTCCTGTGCGTAGGCCCGGGTCAGTACAGCCCCGGCTCTGCAGGAGCCTGCAAGACCCGGCGCTCTGGCTGACCCCCGTTCGCATAGGCCCCCGCCCCTGGAGCCCAGACTCTCCCAAGAGAGCCGCGCTCCGGTGGTCTCGATGAGGATGTGGTCGAACTTGTCCCTCTTCCGGCTGAGCCTCCGCAGGAGGGGCGCAACACGTGGAGGTCCATGGAGAAGGGCGGAGGGCGGAGGGCAAGGGAGGCAGGGGGTCACAGGGCGAGGAGGGGGGGTGCCAGACCCCCGACGCCGTGATTCTTCACACAAAGTCGATCCGGATGGCCCTTCTCCGGCACCGCGTGTCCATCGCAGCACGTTGCATCACCAGTGGCACGAGAGTGGCCGAACACACCACGAGGCGCATCCCCTCCTCGTTGCCAGCACCCGGGAGCCCCCTCCCGCCGAGGCAGGCCGCGGGCCGCCGGGGAGGAGGAGGAGGAGGAGGAGGAGGAGGAGGAGGAGAAGGAGGAGGAGGAGGAGGAGGATGAGGAGGGGAAGGAGGAGGAGGAGGAGGAGGAGGAGGAGGAGGGAGGAGGAGGAGGGAGGAGGAGGAGGAGGAGGAGGAGGAGAAGGAGGAGGAGGAGGGAGGAGGAGGAGGAGAAGGAGGAGGAGGAGGAGGAGGAGGAGGAGGAGGAGGAGGGAGGAGGAGGAGGAGAGGAGGGAGGAGGAGGGAGGAGGAGGAGGAGGCAGGAGGAGGGGGATGAGGAGGTGGAGGAGGAGGAGGAGGAGGAGGAGGAGGAGGAGGAGGAGCAGCAGGAGAAGGGGGGCGAGGGCGCCGGCCACGCGGCAGCCCGAGTGCAGCTGCAGAGCCTGCGGGTCAGGGCGTAAACTCGTGGATTTGGCCATGCTGCAAGCAAGCTCTTTTCTTAGGTCGGGCATGTCCCCCTACAGGCGGATTCTGGGCGAAAATTCCCACCAGCCTTCTGGGCGTCGGTGGTTTAGAGAGTTTCCTCTTCCACCCCTCCTTCTTCCCCTTCGGGAAGGGGTTTATCCCTCCCCCTACCCCCTCCCCGCCGACCTGGACAGGGTGTTTCGCGAGGTGTCAGGGCGTCCAAAACGGCCTCGGCGAGGAAGCCAAAATCATTGATTTTACTATGGTTTTGGCCCCATGTTGGCCTCCTGGGGGGGCGACTGTAATCCGTCAAGAGGTTCCAAGATGGCCCCAAGATGGCCCCAAGAGGCCCCCAAGAGGCCCCCAGGAGGCCCCCAAGAGACCCCCAAGATGCCCCAAGAGACCCCCCGGAGGCACCCAAGATGCTCCAAGAGGCCTCGGCGAGAATGCAAAATCATTGATCTTACGGAGGTTTTAGCCACATGTTGGCCTCTTGGGGGGGCACTGATTAAGGTGACTGCGAGAGCGCCTGGGAGAGACCAAAATGACCTCCAAGATGGCTCAAGATATCTCAAGATGTCTCATCATGGCTTCCTCTATGTGCTGCCCACTTGCCTCATCGAGGCAATTCCTCTGGGCATCGTTTCTGGATGGGCTGGTGGGGATTCGCCAAGCGTCAACAATTTTGAATGGTCAAACATATTCCAAAATGGTACAAAAATCGTCACCAGGCTATTTTTGACTATTTTTGAATTTTCCTCCTATAGAGGGACAGGCCCGACTTAACTCTTTTCGCCCTTGGCGCGGAGCCTCTCGCACATCCTGCACAGGCTCTGAGGGAAGCCGCAGGTTCCGTGGCGACATCTGTAGGGGGCCACATGCGAACCCCACCCTCCCACTCAGAAATCTTGGGGGGTAGGGGCAGGTTTCGCATGTGACCCCCTACAAATGTCGACGCGCGAGGGGGGTCTGCGAGCATCAGCGCCGACAGCGAAAACCCGAAGCGCTTGGGGTCATCTGGCATTGAGTCCGCGGTCAAACAAATTTAAAAAGATCCGCCCAAGATGCACCGCACCCTTGCACCGAAAATGCTAGAAACCAATGCGTGAGCCGTAATGCTTTCGTCAAAACTGCCATGGAAGTTTAAGACTGGACATAATGATGGCAAGTGGCTGCTGAGCGATTCGAGAACCCGAACGAAAGCCAAATTGTACACACCTGCTTACTGGATTTGCACGTTTAAAATACGGGACGATGGACTTCACTCCAAACGTTTTCCGCAACAGCAATCCAAGTCCTGATGCACGAACATTCTGCAACACATCTCAAAGAGAACGCCCAGGTTCTATCGCAGATTCCTGTTCTCTGAAACGAATTGTGGAGTTCATCAAAATTGCTGGCTGCCTGTTCTTAAGACTTCTGGTGGGTACACCCCGAGAGCGCGCTGCAAACGAGGGCTCCGGAAAGCCGCACGAGACCCTCGCAGAGCCCCGGGGGGGCCGAAGAGGGCCGGCCAAGAGAGCGGAGGCCCCCCCATGACGGCCCGAGGCTGCCTCGACAAGAAAGCCCAGCGGGCCCAGGAGAAGGAGCAGCAGAAGGGCCAGGACGAGGAACTGCGAGGAGGAGCCCCAGAGAGCCCGACGCCTCCCGAGAAGCGGCGACGAGGGAGTCTCGGGTGCCTGGGGCAGGGGAGCGGTCAACGGCAGCGGTCGCGAACCTTGTGACGATACTGGAGCTTATAACCTGTCTGTGCAGGTCGGGGAAGGCTGCCAGTCCCAGAGAAAGGCGAGCATCAGCGCGACCAGAGGTGCAAAGAAAGAGGAGAGGGAAAGATATATAGAGAATACACATATCTACACATATGTATATGCACATGTACGTTATGTCAATATTACGCCGAGGCGCGTGGACGCATTCAATGCCTACCTACGGAAACTGCCAAATCAGATTTGCTGTGCACACCTGTGCGCATGTCTACCCCGGCGGCCTCTCTGCAACATCGTTGTCCATTCATTCCAGGGCCTTCACAGCACATCTGGTCCCGAAGAAAGAGGGAGAGAGAGAGAGAGAGAGAGAGAACAATAAAAAAAAGAAGCAGGAACATGGAAAGGGAGGATCGCCAGAGACAGAGCACGTAATGGTAGAGACCGGGTGTAGTAGCAGAAAACCTGGCTACGCACAGCCCACGCGTAGAAGGCGTTTGCAGCGATCTCGGTGGTTGTCTGACCCGCGCTCTGCATGTTAAAAGCCCACGTGAAGCCATTCCAGGATACACTCGGACATGTGCCATGTGCCCAAGATACGTTCACCGCTCGCGCTCGTGCCTCAACAAAAGGGGCCCAGGGACGCACAACTTAGGTACAAATCCCAGGATTCCCTATATTTCCTAATATTTTCTAAGTTTTCGTCTTCCCCTCACTTCCCATATTTCCCTATATTGACCTGGGAGTCGCCGGTTAATTGTGTCTGTATGTTTTTCCCCCTCCTGATCAACGTGCTGAGAGCCGTTCTTTGTACCAATCACGGCGGCACCTCGGCTGCGGCGGGCACCACCTGCTTTGGGCAGTGCCGTGTGCCTGGGGGGGAGGGGCCCGGGGCTCGGGTGAGCTGTCGAGCCACACGGGCGGAGCTCTCGTGCAGCCACAGGCGGGCTCAGACGACAAGTGATTGAAAGCGTCTGGCCAGGCGAACCCGCGGGTCCCCAGGGCAGGCCTCCGCACATGGAAGGATGCCTTTGCAACACCGCTGCATTCATGCCTACCTGGCCAGAGCAAGCGCCGAATCCTGAGGGCAATCGAGAGGAAGGAACACCGCAATTAATAAACATACGATTTTGGAGATCCGCGCTGATTTCTGGGATCCGTGCCAGAAGCACTGGCAGGGGGACTCCAGCGCCGATCCGAGAAAGCCACGCGGAGCTCGGACAGTGTATGTTTCTGCAGTTGTTCCTTCCTCGAGGGAAGGCATCCGAAAATAGAGGAAGCCTTTGACATGCTGCCACATACGGTCAGGAAATTTTGCTTAGCGGGTTGCAGCGGCGGCCCCCCCCCGCCGACACGCTATGCCTTGCAGGCGGACCGCGTCTGGCTCCGCTCCGCGGGGCGGGAGGCTGGAGAAAGCTCGGGACCTTGGCGCTCGGAGACCCACAGTGCATAGCGTGTCGCGCCGAAGCGTGGTGGGCCGGAACCGGCGGAGCGACACGCCATCCAAAAGTTCCCGACCGTACGCACTTTGAAAATGGACGAGACCAGGGCGGCCGACGAAGCCTCGGGGGCCAGATTCGTTCGGCACGCCAACGGGGCCCCGCGGCGGGCGCGCGCGGCGCAGCCAGAGTCAGACAGGGAGATAAGGGGGCCTCCGCTCGGGCGCTCGCAGCTCACGAGGAGGAAGGAGAATGCGTACAAGGACGAAGAGCTGGAGGACGGCACACCCCACTCCCATCCCCATCCAGGACCCCCCCCCCGACCTGGTGATCCAGGGGGGGGGTCCTGCAGGGCTGGGGTGGGGGTGTCTCTTGGGGACCCTTGGAGAGCAAGGACCCACCCTCACCCCCAGCCAGGACACCCAGGATCTTGGACGCCCGAGGTGGGCACGAAGAAAAGGGATACGCTGCCCAACAACACATCTGGTCCAGCACGGGCAGCGGCCGCTGTTGGGCAGGCGGCTTCCTGCTTCACGTGGACAACGACCGCGGCGACACCAACAACGAACCCTGCTCAGAATGAACAAGAGCGGTTTTTGGACATTGTACCAAATGTTTTCATACGCATGTCAATCGTCCCGATGGATCACCAGGTCGGGAGTGGGGTCCCCTTGCATGAGCTGGTTTCGCCAGCGCTGGTTTCGCTCCGCTGGTTTCGCCGACGGCTGGTTTCGCCGACGGCTGGTTTCGCCGACGCTGGTTTCGCCGGCGCTGGTTTCGTACCGCTGGTTTCGCCCCGCTGATTTCGACGGCGGCTGGTTGCGCCGGCGCTGGCTTCGCTGGCGCTGGTTTCGCCGGCGCTGGCTTTGCCGACGCCGTCGTCGCCGTCGGCGACGCCGTCTCGTCGTCGTCGTCGCTATCGTCGTTGTCGTCGTCGTCGGGAAAAACGCCTGGCTGGGAGCCAGAAGGGGGCTGCGGTCGCAAGTGCACCAGGAACGTTGGCCCTCAGCGAACAGACACGGAGGAACTCTGACGGGCGGGTCGGGTCGGGCGGGCGCGAACCCTAACGGGCGGATCCGGCGGGCGGACCTTAGCGGGCGGGTCAGGGCGGGTCGGGTCGTGCGGGCGGACCCTAACGAGCGGGTCGGGTCGGGCGGGCGGGACATGAGTGTGCAAGGCACACTCGACCGAGACCGCGCGAACCCTAACGGGCGGGTCTGGCCGGCTGGGCAGACCGTGCTTAGCCTCGGGCGGGTCGGGTCGGGTCGAGCGGATGGACCCTAACGGGCGGCTCGGGTCGGGCGGGCGGGGCATTCAAGTGTGGGGCGTGATCGACCGAGCACGCGCGAACCCTAACGGGCGGGTCGGGTCGGGCGGGCGGACCCTAGCAGGCGGGTCGGGTCGGGTCGGGCGGACGGGACGGACCCTAACGGGCGGGTCGGATCGGGCGGGCGGGGCGTGCAAGTGTGGGGCGTGCTCGACCGAGCACGCGCGAACCCTAACGGGTCGGGTCGGGTCGGAAGACCCTACCGAGCGGGTCGGTTCGGGTCGGGCGAGCGGACCCAGACCCTAACGACGAGCGGGTCGGGTCGGGCGGGCGGGGCATTAAAATGTGGGGCGCGTTCGACCGATCAGGTGCGAACCCTAACGGGCGCGGGTCGGGTCGAGCGGGCGGACCCTAGCGGGCGGGTCGGGTCGGGTCGGGCAGGCGGACTCTAACGGGCTGCTCGGGTCGGGCGGGCGGGGCATTCAAGTGTGGGGCACGCTCGACCGAGCACGCGCGAACCCTAACGGGCGGGTCGGATCGGGCGGGCGGACCCTAGGGCGGGTGGACCCTAACGGGCGGGTCGGGTCGGGCGGGCGGGACTTCAGAAACTGTGGGGCACGCTCGACCAAGCACGCGCGAAAACTAACGGGCGGGTCGGGTCGGGCGGGCGGACCCTAGCGGGCGGGTCGGGTCGGATCGGGCGGGCGGACCCTAACGGACGGTTCGGGTCGGGCGGGTGGGATATTACAGTGTGTGTGGCGCGCTCGACCGAGACGCGCGAACCCTAACGGGCGTGTCGGGTCGGGCGGGCGGACCCTAGCGAGCGCGTCGTATCGGGCAGTTTCGTCGACGGCAGGTGATTTCGCCGAAGGCAGCTGGTTTCGCCGACGGCAGCTGGTTTCGCCCAGCGGCGAAACCAGCCAGGCGAAACCAGCCGTCGGCGAAACCAGCGGTTACCTCCTGGCTGGGGGTGCTGGTCCAGCGCCGACCCAAGAAATTTCCGGCCGACCACCGACAGTTTGTGCGCATGTCCTTTCTGCTTTCATATTGCTCTGTGTTCTGGAGGCAGCAGGAATACAACAAAGGAGGGAGAGGAGGAAGCAGGGGCAGAGATGCAGGGGGGAGAAGAACCGCGGCAATGGCGCCCTCAGGGCGCCGGGGCCGCCTCGCCGGGAGGCCCGGTGGCCTTCTCGCCCCTCTGGCCCCGCATGGTGTCTAGCACGAACGCCTCGATGCTTTCCCGCCTGCTGGCGTACAGCACCGCCATCACGATGATGCCGATCCCGAGCAGCGCCATGAGGCCAAAGACGGTCAGCATCTGCAGGCCCCCGCCCCAGTCCTCCCCGCCGAAAAGCACGACGGTCTCCCAGGAGATCTTCCACGAGAGCACGAAGGCGCACAGCGCGCCGCAGGCCATCGGCATCGTCCGCTGGAGCACGACCGAGGCGGCCATCTGCAGGAGGGCGAGCACGGAGTACAGCACCCAGGCCCACGCCTCCCCCGAGAAAGGGATCTCCAGGTCCACATGGATGATGACGAAGAAGGTGCCAGCCACCAGCGCCACTGCCCAGGTCTTCATCTCGACGAGCCACGGAGGCGTTGCTACGAGCACCCTCGCACGAGAACGAGCATTCATCACGGATAGGGCGAGCAGAGCCAAGTACAGCGTTGAGCTGTAGATCGTGAAGAACCACTTGTTGAACTCAAGGAGATTGCCCATGTCGTCGCTTAGCAGCAAGAATATCATCACGAATACCGTGGCGACCCCGCCGTACAAGTTAGCGAAGACAGCGTACACTTCATAGTAGTACATGACGTAGGCCACGAGCATCATCATCGGGACTGCGGCAAGGAAAATCCCACAGGCCCCCTGGGCGCAAAAGGTATAGCGGTTCTCTCTTTCCCTCTTCCAGAACTCCTTCTTTGGGAAACTGTAGAGGTATGGGTACCTTTTCTCCTCTGACTTACCACTCACCCTATAGGGAACCCACAGAAGGACGTACGCGCCAAACCACGTGCATGCATAGCGCGCCCCCTTCCGCGAGACCCGCCGCGCGATACGAATGCTCGCGATCATGCGTGCTCTCGACACAACCGTGGATTCATGTACGTGTACGTCCTTCTTTCGCTCTTGACCATACAGTGGAGGCCAGTCCACACGAAACCTTCCACAAGAAACCCAACCCTGAGAGCCCAGAACGTCCATGGGTTTTTGGTGTGGGAACGTTACGCTTCCCGTAGCAGAGCCATCGAAATCAAAGAAACCCAGGGCACCCTGGAGGCAAGCAGAGTGTTTCTTGGCATGGGTCTCCACTGTACGGCCTTCCTTCGCTCTTGACCCTACCCCATTATCCTGGCGTGGTGGCATACGGCCCGTTTGGACCCAAAATGGGTCCAACATTGCCCCCGACGGCCCAAAAGGGCCCCAAAAATGTCGGAGATGGTTCGCGACAGCTTCCGAGATCTATCGCCGAGCGGCCCCAAGGCAGCCACAGGACGCCTCCAAGTGCCCCCGAAGCTCCTCAATAGGACCTCCCCCAAGAGGCCACTACGTCCACGACCACCCCCAAAATGGTTCATGCCTTTTCACCTCCGATGGGCTCCTGATGCAGTCAGATGCTTAAGCAAAAAATACGAATTAATACTCAATTGCTTTGTGTCGGAATTAGCCACGCTTGATTATCAGATCGCATGTTGGCCTTAGAAAGCTCCAAGAGGAGCCCAAGAGGGCCCCGGAATGGCCTTGAGGCCCCGAAGAGGCCCTCAAGAGCGCCCCACAAGGCAATGTTCCGCCGGGTGGGGGAACTAAGCCCCTCCCATTTTGAGCCAGG